TGTGTTATATTTGGTCGGTCAATATACTACATATTGTCTGGGACATTAAGGGTTAGCACTGAGGCAATAGCACCAAGGTGAAATTAGTTTCATATTGGATATTTGGTGGATATTCTGTTTTCTGTCATCAACAGCTATTAAAACCATGACAAAGCATGCCATGACTATGAAGATGGTATTTTCTGAATCGGGTGGAAGGAGAAAAATCCACACTATTCTTTTTATTTTTATAATAAGATTTCAGTGTATCATTTTCATAGACATGGCACGCTTTGTGTAGGAGCTATTGAAGATGGAAAGCCACCTTAAAAAAAGACAATCTAAATGTCAACATCCTCCCCTGATTCAGAATATATTGTTTTCATAGTCATGCCACGCTTTGTCTAAGAGCTATTGACGATTGAAAGCTTTTTAAAAGTTTGTATAAATGACATTTAAACAAAATAAGAGGATTTTTGTCCATCCTCCCCGATTCAGAATATCATTTTCATAGTCATGCCACGCTTTGTCTAAGAGCTATTGACGATTGAAAGCTAGATAAATACATTTAAACGACCCCCCCTCAAAAAAAGCAGTGGATTTTTGTCCATCCTCCCCTGATTCAGAATATATCAATTTAATAGTCAAGGCATGCTTGGTTCAATAGCTATTGACGAGAGAACTGGATATTCCACCAAATATCCGATATGAAACAAATTTGACCTCAGTTCACATAGCTAATGATTTGGAGGTGTATCTGCTTGGATCTGTCAAATCGGTAAGCAGCTGTGCTTGATCATTGTCAGGAAGCCACACCCGTCCAAGTGTAGGCTATAGGCCAGGGGTATTCAACTCTTACTATGCTGGTTTTCTGTTCTACCAGATCATTAGGTTCATACACCTGGTGCTCCAGGTCTGAATCAGTCCTTGATTAGAGGGGATCGATGAAAAAAGCGGTGGAACTGGCTTCAAGATCCAGAGTTCAATTTGAGGGCTATATAGGCCTATAGAAATATTGACACTAAGATTGAAAATCATTCAACAAAATAATGAGGATTTCTGTCAGCCTAATCAAGGTGTAGATTACATCTCACATTCTGCATGGGATTATCTCATGCTCCGTGCAGCCAATGGCAATGTCCGCTTTAGGTATAGTGTCAGGAGCTGCTTGTGGATTTGACAGCCCTAACGTAGTTCCGCCTCCAACGTCACCAAAGCAACCGCTATGCGGATGTCGGCTACAGCGGATTTGATTGAATAAAAGCCTTAACTTTTTTTCTTTATATATTGATCGCCATGTTCTTGTGGAATGTTGTTATTAAATAACTTTGGCGACGACAAGCTAGTCTACATAGTTGTCTTCAAAATACTATGCATATTATGCATAAAATTGTCAAAATGTGATCATCATTTGTATGGGATATATTGATTAGCCATTGGCTCAACTTGCCACACAGCTACAAGGATGCACTTTCATGCTATGTTTAGGACCGCTTATTGTAGCTTATAGAGATTCCCAACTGCTGTTTAAAACAATCTTAAAACTACAGTGCCTTCAGAAAGTATTCACACCCCTTGACTCTTTCCACATTTTGTTGTGTTGCAAAGTGAGATAAAAATTGATTTAATTGTTTTTTTTGTCAACGATCTACACACAATAATCTGTAATGTCAAAGTGGAAGAAAAATTATAATGTTCTAATGTTTTTGTATGTAAATAAAAACACTAATTTTGTGCATTTCTTTGCCACATTTCTTGCAGTGTTACTTTAGTGCCTTATTGCTGTCACGACTTCCGCCGAGGCTGCCTCCCCTCCTTGTTCGGGCAGGTTTCGGCGTTCAGCGTCACCGGCTTACTAGTTACTGCCGATCCATTTATCATCACTCCATTTGTCTTGTCTTCAATCACACACACCTGGTCCTTATTCCCTCATTAAATCAAATCAAATCAAATCAAATCCGGGTAGCCATGATTAGCTGTTCAGGAGTCTTACGGCTTGGGGGTAGAAGCTGTTGAGAAGTCTTTTGGACCTAGACTTGGCACTCCGGTACCGCTTGCCGTGCGGTAGCAGAGAGAACAGTCTATGACTAGGGTGGCTGGAGTCTTTGACAATTTTGAGGGCCTTCCTCTGACACCGCCTGGTATAGAGGTCCTGGATGGCAGGAAGCTTGGCCCCAGTGATGTACTGGGCCGTCTGTAGTGCCTTGCGGTCGGAGGCCAAGCAGTTGCCATTCCAGGCGGTGATGCAGCCAGTCAGGATGCTCTCGATGGTGCAGCTGTAGAATTTGTTGAGGATCTGAGGACCCATGCCAAATCTTTTCAGTCTCCTGAGGGGGAATAGGCTTTGTCGTGCCCTCTTCACGACTGTCTTGGTGTGTTTGGACCATGATAGTTTGTTGGTGATGTGGACACCAAGGAACTTGAAGCTCTCAACCTGTTCCACTACAGCCCCGTCGATGAGAATGGGGGCGTGCTCAGTCCTCTTTTTTTTCCTGTAGTCCACAATCATCTCCTTTGTCTTGGTCACGTTTTTTTTTTGAGGGAGAGGTTATCCTGGCACCACACGGCCAGGTCTTTGACCTCCTCCCTATAGACTGTCTCATCGTTGTCGGTGATCAGGCCTACCACTGTTGTGTCGTCGGCAAACTTAATGATGGTGTTGGAGTCGTGCCTGGCCATGCAGTCATAGGTGAACAGGGAGTACAGGAGGGGACTGAGCACGCACCCCTGAGGGCCCCCCGTGTTGAGCGTCAGTGTGGCAGATGTGTTGTGACCTACCCTTACCACCTGGGGGCTTCCTTGTCTGTGTTGGTGATTGTTTATTGTGAAGCTTGGTGGAGGTCGTGTATTGTGCATCAACCTGAGATTTTCCTGTGTGCCTTGTATTTTCCAGTGCGATTTACCCTCCTGCGCCTGACTCCTTCAACACCACCTCGTCACAATTGCAAACAGGATACATGTTCTGGAATATTTTCTTCTGTACAGGCTTCCTTATTTCACACTGTCATGCAGGTTAGTATTGTGGAATAACTACAATGTTGTTGATCCATCCTCAGTTTTCTCCTATCACAGCCATTAAACTCTGTGACTGTTTTAAAATCATCATTGGCCTCATGGTGAAATCCCTGAGTGCTTTCCTTCCACTCCGGCAACTGAGTTAGGAAGGATGCCTGTATTTTTGTAGTGACTGGGTGTATTGATACACCATCCAAGGTCTAATTAATAATTTCACCATGCTCAAAGGAATATTCAGTATCTGCTTTTTTTTTTTTTTTACCCATCTACCAATAGGTGCCCTTCTTCGTGAAGCATTGGAAAACCTCTCTGCTCTTTGACTCTGTGCTTGAAATTCACTACTCGACTGACCTCGACTGAGGGACCTTACTGTATATGTGGGGTACAGAGATGGAGTAGTCATTCAAAAATCATGTTAACCACTATTATTGCACACAGAGTGAATCCATGCAACTTATTATGTGACTTGTTAAGCAAAACTGTTACTCCTGAACTTATTTAGGCTTATCATAACAAAGGGGTTGAATACTTAGGCCCTGTGTAGCTCAGTTGGTAGAGCACGGCGTTTGCAACGCCAGGGTTGTGGGTTCGACTCCCACGGGGGGGGCAGTATGAAAAATGTATGCACTCACTAACTGTAAGTCGCTCTGGATAAGAGCGTATGTAAAATGTACTTATTGACTCAATAAATTTTAGCTATACATTTTTTATTAATTTGTAAACATTTCTAAAAACAAAATTCCACTTACATTATTGGGTATTGTGTGTGTATCAGTGACACAAAATCTCAATTGAATCCATTTTAAATTCAGGCTGAAACACAACAGAATGTAGAAAAAGTCAAGGGGTTGTGAATACTTTCTGAAGGCGCTGTAGGTTGTAATCTATGGCGCTGTAGGTTGTAATCTATGGCGCTGTAGGTTGTAATCTATGGCGCTGTAGGTTGTAATCTATGGCGCTGTAGGTTGTAATCTATGGCGCTGTAGGTTGTAATCTATGGCGCTGTAGGTTGTAATCTATGGCGCTGTAGGTTGTAATCTATGGCGCTGTAGGTTGTAATCTATGGCGCTGTAGGTTGTAATCTATGGCCTATTGTACTGCAGGATGTGGTCCCTACAAAGCTTCTTAAAGTACTCTGAATGCTTTGAGCTGCTCAGCGTTAGAGCCCATAGAACCCATTACCCAAAGATGTCTGAAACATGCTGAGGTGATATTTCCATGGCAGCAGATGACAAACACAAGACAGGCTCACAATTCACACAATGCAGTGGCTCTGTATGTACTCTGGTTTAGCATCATGAAACCCATAACACTTTGTTCATATCAAATTTTTTTGTACCTTACTTGCTTACCACTTTTGCCATGTAGTTTTCCTTCACAGGACCCCATTAAATAATGACCTCTTCCTAAATATTTGGTCACAGGATTCATTTTGTGTATGGTTTCCTAGAAATAAATTGTGGCTCAACCAACCCATTGGCACAACTTCCTTCACTCTCCCCTACAGATACAGTATGTTTAGAAAATGAAGTTATATTTGCATGTGAAAAAAACAAACATGGAACACACTTTGGAATATTATTCCATTGTTTACGTTTTTGTTAATTTGTCTCTTCAACTCTTTGATGGTAAACAAATATGTTCTTTTTTCAATTTACGAAACAAGGGTGATGGCGGCTCAGACTTGTATCAGCTATTTCCCAAGATTAGATAATGACAATGACTGTTCATTAACATTGTTCCAAAGCATATTTACTTTTGCTACTCAGGCGTTTTATGTTTGTAACCATTTCACACTTTTCTTATCTGAAGTTGAGATATCACTGTGTTCCAAACGGCACCCTATTCCCTATATAGTGCACTACTTTTGACTAGTGGCATATGGGTCCTGTTCAAAAGTAGTACACTATATTGTTGATAGTGTGCCATTTTGGGACGTACACATTGTGTGATATTGTTTGCTAAGGGAGGGCATGGCATGACATGGTCAATTGGCTATGGATTGGGTCATTACTCGCTGTGGATTGGGTCCTGGTGTACAGGATAACTGAATATAAGGACTTGGTTCTCCTACTCTAACTTCACTCGCTGAATCCAAGAAGAACCAGAAGCACCCATGATGAAGTGGGCTGTCGTCCTGTGTGCCCTAGTGGCCCTCTCCGAGTGTCATACCAAGTAAGTCCTGTTCCTCTCCGAGGGTCATACCAAGTAAGTCCTGTTCCTCTCCGAGGGTCATACCAAGTAAGTCCTGTTCCTCTCCGAGTGTCATACCATGTAAGACCTGTTCCTCTCCGAGGGTCATACCAAGTAAGTCCTGTTCCTCTCCGAGTGTCATACCAAGTAAGTCCTGTTCCTCTCCGAGTGTCATACCAAGTAAGTCCTGTTCCTCTCCGAGTGTCATACCAAGTAAGTCCTGTTCCTCTCCGAGGGTCATACCAAGTAAGTCCTGTTCCTCTCCGAGGGTCATACCAAGTAAGTCCAGTTCTTTTCTTTTGTTTTAGTCTGTACATTCTGTTTATTATTGTCACCAGGTCAAATTCCTAGTACATGTAAATGTAATTGTCGAATAACGGTGATTCAGATTTGGATTTTGATCATGTGTTTTCAGGATCTCTCTGATCAAGGGGAAGACTGCCAGAGAGACCCTGATGGAGAAAGGTTTATGGGAGGAGACAAGGCTGAAGTTCCCCTACAACCCTATGGCCAAATTCTACCAGACTGGTGGAAATGAGGCTATGACCAACGACGCTGATGTAAGGCAGAGTGAGGAGTAGTATGGTGAAATACTGCATTAGCCTGGTGACTGTTCCCAGATCTGTTTTTGCTGTATAGACAACGACCATGGGAGTTATATACCATTATATAAAACAGATTTGGTACCAGGCTAGTCTACAAAGGCAATACTGTAGGATTCTTCTGATCTATACTGAACAAAAATATAAACGCATCATGCAACAATTTCAAAGATTTTACTGAGTTACAGTTCATATGAGGAAATCTGTCAATTGAAATAAATTCATTAGGCCCTAATCTATGGATTTCACATGACTGGAAATACAGATATGCATCTGTTGGTCACAGATCTTTTTTTTAAAGGTAGGGGCGTGGAACAGAACCAGTCAGTATCTGGTGTGACCACCATTTGCCTCATGCAGCGCGACACATCTCCTTTGCATAGGATTGATCAGGCTGTTGAATGTGGCATGTGGAATGTTGTCCCACTCCTCTTCATTGGCTCTGCGAAGTTGCTGGATATTGGCGGGAACTGGAACACGCTGCCGCACGCTGCCGCACACGTCGATCCAGAGTCTCCCAAACATGCTCAATGGGTGACATGTCTGGTGAGTATGCAGGCCATGGAAGAACTGGGACATTTTCAGCTTCCAGGAATTGTGTACAGATCCTTGCGACATGGGTCCGTGCATTATCATGCTGAAACATGAGGTGAAGGCGGCAGATGAATGGCACGACAATGGGCCTCAGGATCTCATAATGGTATCTCTGTGCATTCAAATTGCCATTGATAAAATGCAATTGTGTTCGTTGTCTGTAGCTTATGCCTGCCCATACCATAACTCCACCGCCACCATGGGGCACATCAACAAACTGCTCACTCACATGACGCCATACACGTGGTCTGCAGTTGTGAGGCCGGTTGGACGTACTGCCAAATTCTCTAAAACGATGTTGGAGGAGGCTTATGGTAGAGAAATGAACATTCAATTCTCTGGCAACATCTCTGGTGGACATTCCTGCAATCAGCATGCCAATTGCACGCTCCGTCAAAACTTGAGAAATCTGTGGCATTGTGTTGTGTGACAAAACTGCACATTTTAGAGTGTCCTTTTATTGTCCCCAGCACAAGGTGCACCCGTGTAATGATCATGCTGTTTAATCAGCTTCTTCATATGCCACATGAATTATCTTGGCAAAAGAGAAATGCTCACTAACAGGGATGTAAACAGATTTGTGCCCAAAATGTGAGAGAAATAAGCGTTTTGTGCATATGGAACATTTCTGGGATCTTTTATTTTTGCTCATGAAACATTGGACCAACACTTAACATGTTGCGTTTATATTTTCAAATCAAATCAAATTTTATTTGTCACATGCGCTGAATACAACAGGTGTAGACCTTACCATGAAATGCTTACTTACAAGCCCTTATCCAACAATGCAGTTTTAAGAAAATAGAGTTAAGAAAATATTTACTAAATAAACTAAAAGTAAAAAATAAAATAAAAAAGTAACACAATAAAAGAACAATAACGAGGCTATATACCGGGGATACCGGTACCGGGTCAATGTGCGGGGGTACAGGTTAGTCGAGGTAATTGAGGTGATATGTACATGTAGGTAGGGGTAAAGTGACTATGCATAGATAATAAACAGCGAGTAGCAGCAGTGTAAAAAGCCTTTTGGACCTAGACTTGGCACTCCGGTACCACTTGTTGTGCGGTAGCAGAGAGAACAGTCTATGACTTGGGTGACTGGAGCCTAGGACCATTTTTTGGGCCTTCCTCTGACACCGCCTAGTATAGAGGTCCTGGATGGCAGGAAGCTTGGCCCCAATGATGTACTGGGCCGTACGCACTACTCTCTGTAGCGCCTTGCGGTTGGATACTGAGCAGTTGCCATACCAGGCGGTGATGCAACCAGTCAGGATGCTCTCGATTGTGCAGCTGTATAACTTTTTGAGGATCTGGGGACCCATGCCAAATATTTTCAGTTTCCTGAGGGGGAATAGGCTTTGTCGTGCCCTCTTCACAACTGTCTTGGTGTGTTTGGACCATGATCATTTGTTGGTGATGTGGACACCAAGGAACTTGAAACTCTCTACCCGCTCCACTACAACCCACTCCACTACGTGTTCAGTCCTCCTTTTCCTGTATTCCACAATCAGCTCCTTTTGTCTTGCTCATGTTGAGAGAGAGGTTGTTGTCCTGGCACCACACTGCCAGGTCTCTGACCTCCTCCCTATAGGCTGTCTCATCATTGTCGGTGATCAGGCCTACCATTGTTGTGTCATCAGCAAACTTAATGATGGTGTTGGAGTCGTGCTCGGCCACGCATTAGTGGGTGAACAGGGAGTACAGGAGGGGACTAATCACGCACCCCTGAGGGCCCCCCTGTGTTGAGGTTCAGCGTGGTAGCTGTGTTGTTGCCTACCCTTACCACCTGGGGGCGACCCGTCAGGAAGTCCAGGATCCAGTTGCAGAGGGAGGTCTTAAGTCCCAGGGTCCTTAGCTTAGTGATGAGCTTTGTGGGCACTATGGTGTTGAACGCTGAGCTGTAGTCAATGAACAGCATTCTCACATAGGTATTCCTTTTGTCCAGGTGGGAAAGGGCAGTGTGGAGTGTGATTGAGATTGCATGATCTCTGGATCTGTTGCGGCGGTATGCGAATTGGAGTGGGTCTAGGGTTTCCGGGAGGATGGTGTTGATGTGAGCCATGACCAGCCTTTCAAAGCACTTCATGGCTACAGATGTGAGTGCTACGGGTCGGTAGTCATTTAGGCAGGTTACGTTAGTGTTCTTGGGCACAGGGACTATGGTAGTCTGCTTGAAACATGTTGGTATTACAGACTCAGACAGGGAGAGGTTGAAAATGTCAGTGAAGACACTTGCCAGTTGGTCCGCGCATGAACTGAGTACACGTCCTGGTAATCCGTCTGGCCCCGCGGCCTTGTGAATGTTGACCTGTTTAAAGGTCTTGCTCACATCGGCTCACATCAGTATAAAAGACTGTTCAGTATATCTACATACCAGACAAACGACTGTTTGTTCATACTGTAGTACTCTGACTTACAGTACATCTGTTTCACCGTCTCCCTGCAGTTGTCCTACTATGGTGTGATCTCCATTGGAACCCCTCCCCAGTCCTTCAAGGTCATCTTTGACACTGGCTCCTCCAACCTGTGGGTTCCCTCTGTCTACTGCTCCAGTCAGGCTTGCCGTGAGTATACTCCAGGGGTCTGAGTAGTCTCTGAGTAGTCTCTGAGTAGTCTTGGAGTAGTCTCGGAGTAGTCTCTAAGTAGTCTCTCTGAGTAGTCTCTGAGTATTCTCTGAGTAGTCTCTGAGTAGTCTCTCTGGGTAGTTTCTGATTAGTCTCTGAGTAGTCTCTCTGAGTAGTCTCTGAGTAGTCTCTGAGTAGTCTCTGAGTAGTCTCTGAGTAGTCTCTATGAGTAGTCTCTAAGTAGTCTCGCTGAGTAGTCTCTTGTGGCAGAGTTGCATAAACAGTATCATATTGAGTACCTAGCCAGTATCATATTGAGTACCTAGCCAGTATCATATTGAGTACCTAGCCAGAGAATGGGAGACTTGGTTCTGGGTTGAGGTTAGGGTCTGAGGGACCTTGAGGTTGCACCTTGCACCTTGAGATTTACTGCATAAGGGGGTTGGCTCGACATAATAAAACAGGAAATTGGATTAATGTATTTTAATTTTTTCCCCTTTACAGTGTGTATTGTAGAGAATAACTCAATGTTTGAAATACCAATGATTGAATGTTCAGTTTTGCAATGGTATGGTATAGGGCGGCAGGTAGCTTAGTGGGTAAGAGCGTTATGCCAGTAACCGAAAGGTCGCTGGTTCTAATCCCTAATCTAATATGTACAGTGGCTTGTGAAAGTATTCACCCCCCTTGGCATTTTTCCTATTTTGTTGCCTTACAACCTGGAATTAAAATGGATTTTTGGGGGGTTTGTATCATTTGATTTACACAACATACCTACCACTTTGAAACGAAAGAACAGAACTTGAGCGTGCATAACTATTCACCCCCCCAAAGTCAATACTTTGTAGAGCCACCTTTTGCAGCAATTACAGCTGCAAGTCTCTTGGGGTATGTCTCCAGCTCCTTCAAGTTGGATGGGTTCCGCTGGTGTACAGCAATCTTTAAGTCATACCACAGATTCTCAATTGGATTGAGGTCTGGCCTTTGACTATGCCATTCCAAGACATTTAAATGTTTCCCCTTAAACCACTCGAGTGTTGCTTTAGCAGTATGCTTAGGGTCATTGTCCTGCTGGAAGGTAAACCTCCGTCCCAGTCTCAAATCTCTGGAAGACTGAAACAGGTTTCCCTCAAGAATTTCCCTGTATTTAGCGCCATCCATCATTCCTTCAATTCTGACCAGTTTCCCAGTCCCTGCCGATGAAAAATATCCCCACAGCATGATGCTGCCACCACCATGGTTCACTGTGGGGATGGAGTTCTCGGGGTGATGATAGGTGTTGGGTTTGCGCCAGACATAGCGTTTTCCTTGATGGCCAAAAAGCTCAATTTTAGTCTCATCTGACCAGAGTACCTTCTTCCATATGTTTGGAGAGACTCCCACAAGCCTTTTGGCGAACACCAAATGTGTTTACTTATTTTTTTCTTTAAGCAATGGCTTTTTTCTGGCCACTCTTCCATAAAGCCCAGCTCTGTGGAGTGTACGTCTTAAAGTGGTCCTATGGACAGATACTCCAATCTCCGCTGTGGAGATCTCTTTGTTGCCTCTCTGATTAATGCCCTCCTTGTCTGGTCCGTGAGTTTTGGTGGGTAGCCCTCTCTTTGCAGGCTTGTTGTGGTGCCATATTCTTTCCATTTTTTAATAATGGATTCAATGGTGCTCCGTGGGATGTTCAAAGTTTCAGATATTTTTTTGTAACCCAACCGTGATCTGTACTTCTCCACAACTTTGTCCCTGACCTGTTTGGAGAGCTCCTTGGTCTTCATGGTGCCGCTTGCTTGGTGGTGCCCCTTGCTTAGTGGTGTTGCAGACTCTGGGGCCTTTCAGAACAGGTGTATATATACTGAGATCATGTGACAGATCATGTGACACTTAGATTGCACACAGGTGGACTTTATTTATCTAATTATGTGACTTCTGAAGGTAATTGGTTGCACCAGATCTTATTTAGGGGCTTCTTAGCAAAGGGGGTGGATACATATGCACACACCACTTTTACGTTATTTATTTTGTATAATTTTTTTGAAACAAGTTATTTTTTTCATTTCACTTCACCAATTTTGACTATTTTGTGTATGTCAATTACATGAAATCCAAATAAAAAGCCATTTAAATTACAGGTTGTAATGCAACAAAATAGGAACAAATGCCAAGGGGGATGAATACTTTTGCAAGGCTCTGTACTTGGTCTGTAATAAACATGTTCATGTTTCGAGTAGAGAACCATGACAAATTCAACCCTGGACTCTCCAGTACTTTCACGTGGTCCAGCAAGACTGTTTCCATTCAGTACGGAACTGGCAGCATGACTGGACAGCTGGCATACGACACTGTTTCGGTAAGTATTGTAAATGTAGCTAGCTACCCATTGTTGTCAGAAGCATCATGCCCATAGGAGGCACGTACTCCCTCAGATGTGTCCTGTTTAAATATATATTTATACACTACCGGTCAAAAGTTTTAGAACACCTACTCATTCAAGGGTTTTTCTTAATTTTTTACTATTTTCTACATTGTAGAATAATAGTGAAGACAGAAAACTATGAAATAACACATATGTAGTATCCAAAAATGTGTTAAACAAATTAAAATATAATCACTATAATTTTCCACCCCCCTACTAGCACTGACTTTGCTGATAGGAAAATGGAAAAAAAATTTGAGGAAAAAATGACTTACCATGAATGAGATAAGTGGTTGTTCCATTTAGCTATCTTAAGATGAATGCACAAACTGTAAGTCACTCTGGATAAGAGTGTCTGCTAAATTGCTCAAATGTTAATATAAATAATAATATATATTTTTTCATCTTCTTTGTAATACTACTAGTCACACATTTTAGCCACACATTTTATGAAGTTAGCTTTAGCTAGCCCAGATAGGTTCCCAATCTCCCAACCTCATAACTATCTACCAAGAAGCCGTTCAGGCTGTTAATCAAGTTAGAGTAGCTAGCTTGTCTATCTTAGCTGGCATGCCTGCTGGCAAGGTTGGTAGACTTTTTAAAAGCTAGCAATAACTAAATGTACTGAATAAGACTCACATTCCTTTCAATCTTTTACCCAGATTTTAGCAGAGCTGCAGAGAAGCATATTTAGTTTCTTTAAAAAATTTAAACACCAGTCAGACAGCTCAAGATATGCTTAGATATGCTGATAATTACACTTAAAAAAAAAATAAAAAAAATATGTGTGTATATATATATATATATATATATATATATATATATATATATATATATATATATATTTTTTTTTTTACATATAATTAAACGTAATTATAATGGCTCTAGTTTGTTGGAAAAAGCTGTTTTTTAATTCATTTTTATTGCTAAATTCTCCAATTTACGGACAGGGTGCATAGTCCTGTTAAATGACTAAATAGTCCGCCTCCGGATCACCCCCCAGCCATTCTAATGAAATATGTGCCCCCTCAGATTTTTGGGGTGCATGACACCCCTGATTATTGTGATATATATAATTTTTATTGACACTTCCAATTACAACATTCTGTACATTAAATAAACCCCCCAAAATAATCTTAATCATTTTATAACATCACATGATAAAAAAAATTGTAAAATGTTGTGCGTTTCCAGGTGGGAGGTATCTCTGTCACCCAGCAGATTTTTGGTGCCAGTCAGACCGAGGCTCCCTTCATGGCGAACATGGTTGCTGACGGTATCCTGGGCCTGGCTTTCCCCAACCTGGCAGCCTCTGGAGCCACACCTGTCTTTGACAACATGATGACCCAGGGCCTGGTGTCCCAGTCCCTCTTCTCTGTCTACCTGAGCGGGTAACAAATACACCTGGATGGGAGGTGGCATTTTGTCTTAGTTGTGATATAAATATCTAAGTGCCAGTGCATTGATAGTAAATACAATTAAACAATTGCTTTAATGCCTTTTGAAGGAGAGGTGTCATCCATAAAAATAAAAATGTGTTGATGATTAAACAACCTTGTTGACCTTTTCTCCTCCTCCAATAGAAACTCAGCAGAGGGTAGCGTGGTGTCCTTCGGTGTCATCGAGCCTACCTACTACACCGGGCAGATCACATGGATCCCTCTGTCCTTGGTGACCTACTGGCAGATCACCATGGACAGGTAGGTACACTAGTCCACACAGAACCTATATTCATGTCTATATATCCCCTTTACTCTACACAGAGCATTATTTACATTTTTTGTCATTTAGCAGACGCTTTTATCCAGAGCGACTTACAGTTAGTGAGTGCATACATTTTCCATACTGGCCCCCCGTGGGAATCAAACCCACAACCCTGGCGTTGCAAGCGCCATGCTCTACCAGGAGGGCTTATGTCCCTGTCCAACATGTTATCGACTTTGTATCATCCCTTCATGCCACCACCCAGAACCTATAGACCGGGGTGTCAAACTCATTCCATGGAGGGCCTAGTGTCTGCGGGTTTTTGGTTTTTCCTTTCAATTAAGACCTGGACAACCAGGTGAAGGGAGTTATTTACTAATTAGTGACCTTAATTCATCAATCAAGTACAAGGGAGGAGAGAAAACCCGCAGACACTCGGCCCTCCGTGGAATGAGTTTTTGACACGTGCCATAGACTCACAATCCACACACACATTGCAGCAATACATAAAACGAACATTCCTCCTTCCCAGCCTGGTCTCATAGACCAGACGTAACATAGTAAACACACTCAGATTAGTATGATATGGTACGTTTGGTAGGTTACATAAGACAGATGGTTACTTAAGGAAAAAAACAAAGAAGCATGGTTGGTTGGGGTGGATGGGTTGGTGTATAACACAAAGTCTAGCAACCAAAAAGTTGCGAGTTCAAATCTCATCACGGACATTTTTTTAGCTATTTTATCAACTTTTCAACTACTTACTACTTTTTAGCTACTTTGCTACTACTTAGCATGTTAGCTAACCCGTCCCCTAACCTTAACCTCAACCATTTTACCTAACTCGTAAACTTAACCTTAACCCCTAACCCCTAGCCTAGCTAATGTTAGCCAGCTAGCTAACGTTAGCCACCTAGATAGAATTCGTAACATATCATAAGTTTTGCAAATGTGTAACATGTAGTACGTTTTGCAATTTTTTACATAAAGTACATTCTGCAAATTTGTAACATATAATACAAATTGTAATTCGTAACATATCAATGGGTGATGTCCCGTGTAGCTCAGTTGGTAGAGCATGGCGCTTGCAACGCCAGCGTTGTGGGTTCGATTCCCACGGGGGGCCAGTATGAAAAAATTGTATGCACTCACTGACTGTAAGTCGCTCTGAATAAGAGCGTCTGCTAAATGACTAAAAATGTGATGGACATCCACAAATTAATACATACAATACGAAATGTAACATATCAAACTAAATGGAGTGTCTCAGAGTGTACTTCCAGTCTGGAGCCTATGGCTGAATCTTGCCGTGCACTTACCAAGTTCAAGTTTATTTGCTCATGTCAAAAACACAATAACAGCAAGAAATACATACAACCAAATATAGGAACAACAGGTAAACTCAGCAAATTTTTGTCCTTCCAGTGTTACCATCAACGGCAACACAGTGGCTTGCAATGGTGGCTGTCAGGCTATCATAGATACTGGCACCTCCATGATCGTCGGGCCAACCAATGACATCAAAAACATTAACTACTTGGTCGGAGCCACCATCAACCAGTACGGATATGTGAGTCACGCACGCACATGCACACACCGACCGGTACAGACATGTGAGTCCAACTATAGGGCTTTCACACTACTGAGCCAAGCCGAGCTGCACTAAGCTGCCTGGCCTTGTTAGCTGTTGGAACGAACCGTGGTGAACAGCAAATATCTGAGCCAGCACATTGAGGTTGGGACCGACGTGGTATATGTGTGTTTTCTTGTCATAGTTTTTTTTATCAATCACCGCCTCCCCTTTGATTAACAACAGAATTAAGTATAACGATGATGTTATTATCCCTCTCCTAGACCACCGTGAACTGCAACATCATCCCCAACATGCCCGAGGTGACCTTCAACCTCAACGGGCACGCCTTCACCATCCCTGCCTCTGCCTTCACCATCCAGGTAGAGTCTACTGAAAGACGTTACATACAACCTATCACCTCCCAGGTAGTCTACTGAAAGACGTTACATACAACCTATCACCTCCCAGGTAGTCTACTGAAAGATGTTACATACAACCTATCACCTCCCAGGTAGTCTACTGAAAGACGTTACATACAACCTATCACCTCCCAGGTAGTCTACTGAAAGACGTTACATACAACCTATCACCTCCCAGGTAGTCTACTGAAAGACGTTACATACAACCTATCACCTCCCAGGTAGTCTACTGAAAGACGTTACATACAACCTATCTGACCTATCTGATCTGTAATGCTGATGTGTTTCGGAGCAAGCTCCTTCACCAGAGTACCTGTACATCTGAGACTTGACTTCTTTTAGATCCTAGTGGAGCAAAGGGCCTCATATCTAAGAGGAAAAGTGTGATATCTGAAAAACATCCAGATTTTCCTCTCTAGCTCTCCCCTATCTCTCTCTCTCTCTGCCCCTCCCCCTCCCCTATCTCTCTCCCCCTCATCTCTCTCCCCTCCACCCTCTCTCTCTCTCCCCTTCCCCCTCTCTCCCCTCCCCCCTCTCTCTCTCTCTCCCCTTCCCCCTCTCTCTCCCCCCTCTCTCTCTCCCTCTCCCCCTCCCTCGCTCTCTTTCCCTCTCTCCCTTTCCCCCTCCCTCTCTCCCCCTCCCTCTCTCGCCATCCCCACCCCCCCTCCCTCTCCCTCTCTCCCCATCCCCCCTCCCTCTCTCCCCATCCCCCCATATCTCTTGCCCCATCCCCATCTCTCTCTCTCTCTCCCTCTCTAGGACCCCTACGGCTGCAGGACTGGTTTTAGTAACGGTGGCTATCAGCAGCTCTGGATCCTTGGAGATGTCTTCATCAGGCAGTACTATGCAATCTTCGACAGGCAGAACAACAGGGTTGGTCTGGCCAAAGCTGTGTAAGAGATCCACTAGTTCTACAGAGCTCCACTGATCCCAAAGATCCTTAAGGGCTAGGTTAAATCCTGACAGCAGAAGATCCGCGTAATAGTGTGATAGGTCCTCTGTAGCTCAATTGGTAGAGCGTGGCGCTTGTAACGCCAGGGTAGTGGGTTCAATCCCCGGGACCACCCATATGTAAAAAATGTATGCACACGTGACTAAGTCACTTTGGATAAAAGCGTCTGCTAAATGGCATATTATATTATTATGATTGAGCCAACATATGCATAGTTTACCGTGAATGAAGTCTATGTGAATGCGGGAACAACATCTTTAAAATTTATAGCGCGGCTCTTCCACAGTCTGGATTGAATTGAGGCCCTAGTCCTCCAGTTAATGACTAATAGGTTGTACATGTGATTTATGCTCTAAACTAGTCGGGGAAATGTTGTAGATTGTGAAATGTAATCAAATAAATATGTATTTTAGCATTGCAAATAAAGTCTCTGTAGCTTTTTCTCTCTGAAGTGGATCCTCTTGTGGAACCTCTTCATGTAATGTAAGAACAGAATACGATAGAATATTGACCCGAACATGGTGGAGGCAGGTAGGTCCAGAGCCATAGATAACCATCTCTTGTATGCAGTGGCGGCTCCTGAAAAAATTCTCAGGAGGGGCAATTTTTCTGATGATTTAGGTGACCTACACACATTTAAAAAAAGATATGTCCAGCAACAACATGAAGACAGGGGCAGCATATAAGTCAATACCAGAAGCATTTATTGACTGATCTGGGGAGATGGATTCCAGTTTCTGTGACAGATTATAAATAATCTCTGATGCCTTTGTTATATTAGCTTTTGGTTGAATGTACTGTCGTAGTAAATATATAATGTTATAGCTTGGTCTGACTAAAATCTTGTGCATGACCCATTTTGTGTTGGGCGTTTGTTTTCAATCAATGCTGTTCCTATCCTATAACAATGGACAAAATAGTCCTATCTTGTCAGCCTTGTCAGCAGGTGGCCAAGGACAACACCCACGCCATAGGTCTCTCAGTTCTTCCAACTCACGAGTTCTTGCTCTGAGGACACACACACACACACACACACACACACACATCATCACTGATAACACACACACACACACACATCATCACTGTTAAACACACACACACACACACACACACAAAAATCCCCTCTCTTTAGGCTGAACATTTGAAGACAGAGAACCCGACTCAGAGCCAATGCAACAGTGGAGGGGACCTCGCCCAACTCATCAGGACCAATCAGAAGATCAGAACTACTAGATTCAACCTACATCATTTATTGTATAAAATGTCTGCACACAATGTTTTCGGGGCTCTCTTCAGATAGCTCCCTAAGAGTTTGACGAACGAGTCCGTGCACGCGATTCCAGATATCTTTACCTCTGAATAAACTGCCTTTATTATACCATATCCACCCTGTCCAAAGTCTCTACTTGGTCTCAGTTCTCCAGTAAACTTGTGATTATCAACAGTACACAACGGTAACAAACAATTGGGGGAACTCACGGGGCAGATAGTAAGGTCGCAGTGACACAGAAAGCAGTTCAATGTCGGGGCTCGGGGGTACAGAGTCGCTCTCTTACCAGGATCGATTTTCCCTGTGACTGTCAGATCGCGGTCCGCTCTGACCAGGGTGAAGCCGGCCGGCTCCACTTCTCTGTCCGGGACTCTGTCATCCAGCCAAGTCTCCCAGCTGTATTGGATTCCGCTGCCAGCAACGTTTTCATTATTTAGTCCGTTCGTAGCGGGTATGTACACGATGAACAAGATCAGTCCAAAACCCACCACTGGAAATCTATGGTTGGCAGAATGTTTGTAAACTAAGTGTACAAATTAAAAACATAAAATAACGCCACTAAGTGTACAAATTAAAAACATAAGATAACGCCACACTGCAGGTCGCAACAGAGACGCTGCTAGCCGCAATTGTCTTAGTTACGTTCATGGTTACGTCACGTATGACGAAAGCGCGTAAGTGCAAGCCCACAGACACCCATAGAGAATGTATTGAAAGCTTTGAAATTTGAAAAAAATAGATTTTACATGACAGGCTATGAGAGACTTCTGGGCGATTTTCAACCTGACTGAAATCGCCCCAAAAACGGGCGGGGCCATTTGAAGCACGACTTTAGCCTGATTTGACATTTAGTGGCAGTCAGATCAGATTACAACACTGATAACTACTGTTGCCGTGATATAATTCATTAGAAAAAAAATCCCTTCCTTTTCCCGTTTGGCAGTGCGTCGCCCATATCGCCCTATTGAACAGGCCGTCCCTGCTTGTATGAATGGGTAGGGGAACGCTCTGTCTGTAAGGTTTTATCCAGAGGAAACTTACCGATAAGGACATGGTGATTGGATGCCAGATAACCTGATGTCCAGATAGACACGAACTCAGCCTGTCAATACAGCCAGCTTGTTGAAAGGCAGTCAGAGTAAATCCTGGTGCAGTTCAGTTATCTTTTATTTGTATGGTTCATAAGTAAAAAAAAAAATTGACATAAATCAAATCATCTTAAAGCTAGAATCTGCAGTGGAAACAAAACGTCGCCCCGCCACTGTTTTGGTAAAAAGCGGAAGGATGGGCCTGGAAAAAAGTAACCACTCTAAATCCTAGACATAGCTATGGATACAAGGACTGACCATCCATGATATCAACACTATAGTTTGAACCGTGTTTTGAGACTATACCATGTTTGTAAACATTTACATTGTTTACAAACACTGGAGTAAAACAAGCTTCTATTTTGGGTTCTGATGGGGTACGACAGATGACCTAACCTCACGAGGCATTTATAAGTTAGATTTTTCAAGAATCAATGGGTATATATATATATATATTTTTTTTTTTAATGTATGTAGCAACTAAGGATTCTAGCTTTAAACACATTTGTCCTATTTAAGTATCCACATTGAAGCAACATACAGATTGGTCATGACAGCATATCAAGACAGCACAAACAGATCTGGGACCACTGGGCTAAGAAAGATACAGATACGTAACAATCCAGTTCAGCGTTGGTTGCTAGCCAGTGTGGAGTACACCACAGTCCCAGCAGGCTCTCTGTGTGGGTCAGGGTCATGACCTCTGGGGCTGCTGAGTGTCTGTAGGTTAGCATACAGCTCTGTGGTGTGGTTCTCATGAGGTTTGAAGTCCACCGTGATGTAGATAATACTGCTCTCCTCTTGAGGGATGTACTGCAGGAGACATACACATTCAATAATATTTAGTAACACTTTATATTAAGGTATATAAACAGTCTTTATAATGAGTATTTATACATATAAGTTTGTTTACAAACTGTTTATTATGGGGCACACTGCAGAAGACATATCAACAGACATCATGGGAACGTCAAGCTCAACAGACATCATGGGAACGTCAAGCTCAACAGACATCATGGGAACGTCAAGCTCAAGAGACATCATGGGAACGTCAAGCTCAAACACTATTATTATTATTCTTTGTTGTCGTTTCTGGGACAAAACAGGAAATGTGACACTGAGTCATGAAGACAAGGGTCACATTTAGCACTTACTGATAGAGTGTGGGCTGCTGAGTCACTGGAAGTTGCTCCACATTTCTCTGTGAAGAACATGAAAATGACTTAAACTTTAACAAAGAACAGACACAGTGCAACAACGTCAAAATCATGGGACGTCTACTGGCTAAAGGTCATAGCCTACGTATTTGAAAGACGATTTAACGGGATGAAACACTGAAAGTTATTCCTCTTACTCTCCGCCTCGACTTTGCGATGAACCACAGCAACTACGATCGAACAGATTACAATCACCATAGTGACGCAGAGACCTGCAGCCAGCGGTACACCAAAGCTCCGGGAAACACTAACAGGTGAATAGGACAAAACGTGACGAAATATTGACATAATTACACCACTCCCACAACTCGTATCAACTATAACATTATCAACTATAAGGAATAATTAACCAGTATGTGTGTGTGAGAGAGAGATTGCACCTGGGGCCGTCATTGTGGTGCTTGTAGAAAACAGAGGCGTCTGAGGAGGAGGATGATGATGATGATGAGATGGAGGGTCTGATGGTTGACCTGACACGAGGTCCAGGGGGTACAAGACCGCTACGTCGACCATGATCTAAACGGAGACAGTTTAATAAGCACTCATTTCAACACAGTGATCTGTTATTTTACAAGTTGACCTAATCTTCCTCATACTGTACGTGCTTACATATTTCCTTGGCCTCAACACATTGGTTTACCTACAGTATGCATTCCAGTTTGCTAATATCACAGTTCCTAGAATAGAACAGAATAACATTCTTTACTTAATTTAAGATTGTTTGATTTATTTATGAGGGTTCTTACCAATCTGGAGGCGATAGTCAGAGTAGATATGATTCACACTGCTGACAATAACACACCTGTAGTCACCAGCGTCCACAAGCTTTAAATTCCATATCTTAACGTCCATCCCACCGTTGTATTCTGTTGTCGATATTCTTCCCTTGTAGAAGTCATTGACATATCCTCTGGTATTCACAACAGGAAATCCCTCAGGATGTAGTTTAGAACATAACTTCTCATAACCATTGTAGAAGGGATGAAATATAAATCTCAGCAGAACTTGTCCATTCACCACCATCCCCTGTTGTGCTTCTATCTCAGGGTCATCTATCAAACAAACAAGCACGCACGCACACACACACACACAGAAATCACCAAATATGGCACAAAACAGGTCTCTCTTGCTAAACTTTTTTTTTTTTTATCTCAATGAGACAAACCTGGATAAAATCTCACCTAATAGAAGAAGGAAGAGAAAGATCATCTTCATCTTCAGTCAAATACTCTCTGAGGCTGGGCAGCTGTCCCCATGCATCCTACCTCACCAACTAAATAAATGGAACTGAAGTTGACAGCTGTTTGACTGCAGCGTTCTGAGACCAGCCTTGTGATTAACTTCCTTCATTTGGGGGGGGGGGGGGGGGGGGGGGGGGTGTCAATTACAAGTTTCAGAACACTCATTAGTGGCTGAGCATGAGGTCGACAGGTTGTACTGTTGTCACGGTACCAGCTCTGCCATCATGGTTCCAAATAAAAACAAATAAGAAAACAATCACCAAAAAGGCAAGTGAAAGATCTTACACAGTGTAGCAGTGAGTTATTTGGTATCAGCTTTTAGTTATTTAGAGACATTTTCATTCAAGCATATCCTCGATCATGGAACAAAATGCTTCATATGCAAAAAAATATATGTACAAATTACCAAAATGATTAACCATTCTTTATCCACGAATCACAATCAATCCTGTAGTCACACAGTCAAGTCATCCGATCCTCCATAGGCATAGTCTTCACACAGTCCTTTACTATTTAAAACTAAAAACGTCCATTGGATGCTGTGCTCTATGCTGAAATATATCAGCCATTTCATTCCATCGTCTTGCAAGTCAAAGCAGGTACTGAGGCACACGCAGAAATATCATTTTAAAATATTTTACAGAGTAGGGCTACGTACCAAATTTAGTGCACTACTTTTGACCAAGTAGTGCTCTATGTGGGGAATAGGGCACCATTTGGGATGCACCCTAGATCAACCAACCTCTTGTGTAACTTCGTTCTTTAATGTACTTAAAAGCAACAGGAGCAATATTTAGAATTTACAGAAGCTTTTTGTATATCTATTTAACAGTGAGAGTTAATCTATTTGGTAGCTAGCAGCCACTAAAATCCTCTCTACTACGGTTCATTTCAACTCAGATATCTGAAGATACACTACATGACAAAAAGTATGTGGACACCTGCTCATCGAACATCTCATCTCAACATCATGGGTATTAATATGGAGTTGGTCCCCCCTTTGCTGCTATAACAGCCTCCACTCTTCTGGGAAGGCTTTCCACTAGATGTTGGAACATTGCTGCAGGGGACTTGCTTCCATTCAGCCACAAGAGCATTAGTGAGGTCAGGCACTGATGTTGGGCGATTAGGCCTGGCTCGCAGTCGGCGTTCCAATTCATCCCAAAGGTGTTCGATGGGGGTTGAGTTCAGGGCTCTGTGCAGACCAGTCAAGTTCTCGACAAACAATTTCTGTATGGACCTCGCTTTGTGCACGGGGGGCACTGTCATGCTGAAACAGGAAAGGGCCTTCCCCCAAACTGTTGCCAAAAAGTTGGAAGCACAGAATCATCTAGAATATCATTGTATACTGTAGCGTTAAGATTTCCCTTCACTGGAACTAAGGGTCCTAGCCCGAACCATGAAAAACAGCCCCAGACCATTATTCCTCCTCTACCAAACTTTACAGTTGGCACCCTGCATTCGGACAGGTAGCATTCTCATGGCATCCGCCAAACCCAGATTTGTCTGTCGGACTGCCAGATGGTGAAGAGCGATTAATCACTCCAGAGAACGCGTTTCCACTGCTCCAGAGTCCTTTCCTCTGCTCCAGAGCTTTACACCACTCCAGCCGACGCTTGGCATTGCTCATGGTGATCTTAGGCTTGTGTGCGGCTGCTCTGCCATGGAACCCATTTCATGAAGCTCCTGACGAACAGTTCTTGTGCTGACGTTGCTTCCAGAGGAAGTATGGATCTCGGTAGTGAGTGTTGCAACCGAGGACAGACGATTTTTACGCACTAGGCGCAACAGCACTCGCCGGTCCCGTTCTGTGAGCTTGTGTGGCCTACCATTTCACGGCTGAGCCATTGTCGCTCCTAGATGTTTCCACTTCACAATAACAGCTTGTTGGAAAGGTGGCATCCTATGACGGTGCCATGTTTAAAGTCACTGAGCTCTTCAGTAAGGCCATTCTACTGCCAATGTTTGTCTATGGAGATCGCATGGCTGTGTGCTCGATTTAATACACCTGTCAGCAACGGGTGTGGCTGAAATAGCCGAATCCACTAACTTCAAAGGGTGTCCACATACTTTTCTATATATAGTGTATCATAGATATCAGAGTAGAGCACCGTGCTCGAGGGTATCGGCTTGAGCAAGGTGCTGCCCAGATTTGCTAATCCTGATCATGTAATGTAGTTGTTGTTTGGGATACAAGATGATTTGTAGCTTGGGGATTGTGTGCAGAGCCTTGCTTTGGCTGAACTTCTTGAACAATGTATGTCACTGGACTTCTGTCAGCGCCTAGTGGTTCCATCATACTGGTCCTGCACCGCATACCGCAGGCCTGTCCCTGTCCTTTAAGCAAAGTGACATCACATCCAACATCCGTCTGACCCGACAGCAGTGCCTCTTAGTCTGAAGGTGATGATGTCATCTCTGCTCGTCAGTGAAGGTGATGACATCATACAGCTGCTGCATCTGCTCCAGATGGTCTTGTGTCACCGTCTGTCTCCTCGGGGCGTATGCAGGGACTGGCGCGTAGAAGAAATATCAGCCTGCACAGAGAAACACGAGATTGAACTTCACTCAACTCTCTAGAGTTTTCCCCGTTAGTTAACAATATCAACGTTTCCCTTTACTGTGGGAATTGTGATTGAATCAACGCAAATATTAGCCACTTTCAATGCAACATACCGAAAACAAAACGAACTATGCAAGACTTCGTATGCAAGAGATTTTGTTGTGACAGAATGCATCAGAGTAGGATTCTATTTGCATTGACACTCACTACTCAGCCCCTACTCTACACAGACCGGTGCCGCATAACCAATCAGAGCTGCCGTAGGCCTATATGCAAATAGACCGTTGCCATATATGGATCTGTGCCATTCATTCTGAACTGGACTGTGTTTACACCATGAGCGGTCGTGAGTAGAAGCGCTTGTTTTGAGATCAAAGCGAGAGCTGCGTGTAGCCACGTGTGAACATTTTGTTCATATCCTTTGCTAGTAGTGAGTTACTAGACCCAGTTATAGATCATTTTGTAGTCAGCAATGGAGGAGTGATTGCTTCCTACAAGATGATGCCCGCCGTTTGGTGAGACGTAGATCAGGTGGGTAAACTGAGTATATATAGTCTGTCATGCTGAGTTTTGATGCAGAGTCTTTACCAGATAAGGTCAAGGTTGAAAGTGTCAGTTTTCCCGTGAGACCTTTTGTCCTAAAAAACCTTGTTTTAGGTGTTAAGTTTATGGGCATGTTGCAGCAGTGTGTAGGAGATGTCTAAATGTGAGAAGTGTGTAGGAGGGCATGAGACGAAGGAATGTGTGGTATCGGTGGAGAAAGTCGTGTGTGTGTGTGTTAGTTGTGGGGGTGCCCATGGGGCTGGAGATAGGAAGTGTCCGGTGAGAGAAAAGCAGGTTGAGGTTGCCAGGGTTACAGTAGTACAGAAAGCGTCGTATGCTGAAGCAGTGGAGAGAGTGGTAGAGGAAGACGGGTACAGGGTGAGGGATCCTGAGAGGATTCCTGTGAGTAGGCAGAGACCAAGAGAGAGTGATGGGAAGAATATGTGGGCTTTTTAGCATTTATTACCATGGTTGTTAATTGTACTGCAGAAATGGATCGAAAGTCACAGAAAATAGAGGTTGTGGTGGCAGCAGCAGAGAAGTACTTTGGATTACGAGGATTTACTGCAGAACAGCAGCGGGGGGGTGTTGGTTGTAGATATGGTTATATAGTGAAATGGGTGGTTTTTTGTTGTTGTTGTAGTTGTTGTGAGGGCTAATTTTCCTTTCTCCCAATTTTTGTATTATCGTATCAAAGAATGTAATGTAGGTAGGCGGTGTATGGCCTCAATCACCAGTACAGTAGGGGGTGGTGTATGCATCTAAAAGTTGGATGCGATCCGCCAACCAAATCCCGAAGAAAAAGAAGGTATCATATCTTTCACCTGGATTCACCTGGTCAGTCTTTATCATGGAAAGAGCAGGTGTTCTTAATGTTTCGTATACTCAGTGTACAACAAAAACACAAGTCTCAGTACACTTGAGAAATGATGCATTAAACCAGATTTAGCTAACAGCTAATTTCCATCTGCAACCCCTGATCAGGTGAGTCATGTCCTACCACTGTCATAGATCACATACTGCCTCTAAACAGGTGAGTCATGTCCTACAATGGTTGGAGATAGTAGAGTAGAGCTTTGGGAAACACTGCTGTAATGAATGAAGCAGACAGTGGGTTAACCTCCAGGCCCTGTCCTCCAGGCCCTGTCCTCCAGGCCCTGTCCTCCAGGCCCTATCCTCCAGGCCCTATCCTCCAGGCCCTGTCCTCCAGGCCCTATCCTCCAGGCCCTATCCTCCAGGCCCTATCCTCCAGGCCCTATCCTCCCGGCCCTGTCCACCCGGCCCTGTCCTCCCGGCCCTGTCCACCCGGCCCTGTCCTCCAGGCCCTGTCCTCCAGGCCCTGTCCTCCAGGCCCTGTCCTCCAGGCCCTGTCCTCCAGGCCCTATCCTCCAGGCCCTATCCTCCAGGCCCTATCCTCCAGGCCCTATCCTCCAGGCCCTATCCTCCAGGCCCTGTCCTCCAGGCCCTGTCCACCAGGTTCTCTACTGAAGCAGACAGTGTGTATTCATACCGGTGACAGCAGAGTGTTCAGCAACCTCCAAGTCTTCAGGACTGACTAGCTGTTGTTCTGAACTGATGGGAAGATACTGGATCTGGGAAATTAAACACTTAACCTTCCATCTTACTCTATCACACAGGGCACATTTCAATTCATTATCCCAAAATACAGCCGTATTCTTGTTTGACTGTTTTAGGGGTTGAGTATTTTAGGAGCGATTATTTTGGGGCTTGATTGTTTTGTGATGGAGTGTTTTTGGGGTCCTCTACTCACCTGTTGCTCCTGCAGGAAGGCCCCATCATTCTCATACTGGATGATCTGTCCATCTGACATCTGGATGCGGTTCCCGTCTGATAGCACCACGTACTCCTGGGATATTAAGTGTTGGACTCCTTCCTGACTCCTTGTCCTCCTTCACCTGGGAGGGTGAAGGAGGACAATTACCACAATATCTTCACTGTCTGTCCCGCCTCTTTATAGTCAAAGTTAAGTAGATATGTTCAAATCAAATCAAATCAAATTTTATTGGTCACATGCGCCGAATACAACAGGTGCAGACATTACAGTGAAATGCTTACTTACAGCCCTTAACCAACAGTGCATTTATTTTAAACAAAAAAGTAAGAATAAAACAACAACAAAAAAGTGTTGAGAAAAAAAGAGCAGAAGTAAAATAAAGTGACAGTAGGGAGGCTATATATACAGTAAGATAAAGTGACAGTAGGGAGGCTATATATACAGGGGGGTACCGTTGCATAGTCAATGTGCGGGGGCACCGGCTAGTTGAGGTAGTTGAGGTAATATGTACATGTGGGTAGAGTTAAAGTGACTATGCATAAATACTTAACAGAGTAGCAGCAGCGTAAAAAGGATGGGGTGGGGGGGGCAGTGCAAATAGTCCGGGTAGCCATGATTAGCTGTTCAGGAGTCTTATGGCTTGGGGGTAGAAGCTGTTGAGAAGTCTTTTGGACCTAGACTTGGCACTCCGGTACCGCTTGCCGTGCGGTAGCAGAGAGAACAGTCTATGACTAGGGTGGCTGGAGTCTTTGACAATTTTGAGGGCCTTCCTCTGACACCGCCTGGTATAGAGGTCCTGGATGGCAGGGAGCTTTGCCCCAGTGATGTACTGGGCCGTACGCACTACCCTCTGTAGTGCCTTGCGGTCAGAGGCCAAGCAGTTGCCATACCAGGCGGTGATGCAACCAGTCAGGATGCTCTCGATGGTGCAGCTGTAGAATTTTTTGAGGATCTGAGGACCCATGCCAAATCTTTTTAGTCTCCTGAGGGGGAATAGGCTTTGTCGTGCCCTCTTCACGACTGTCTTGGTGTGTTTGGACCATGATAGTTCGTTGGTGATGTGGACACCAAGGAACTTGAAGCTCTCAACCTGTTCCACTACAGCCCCGTCGATGAGAATGGGGGCGTGCTCAGTCCTCTTTTTTTTCCTGTAGTCCACAATCATCTCCTTTGTCTTGGTCACGTTGAGGGAGAGGTTGTTGTCCTGGCACCACACGGCCAGATCTCTGACCTCCTCCCTATAGGCTGTCTCATCGTTGTCGGTGATCAGGCCTACCACTGTTGTGTCGTCGGCAAACTTAATGATGGTGTTGGAGTCGTGCCTGGCCATGCAGTCATGGGTGAACAGAGAGTACAGGAGGGGACTGAGCACGCACCCCTGAGGGGCCCCCGTGTTGAGGATCAGTGTGGCAGATGTGTTGTTACCTACCCTTACCACCTGGGGGCGGCCCGTCAGGAAGTCCAGGATCCAGTTGCAGAGGGAGGTGTTTAGTCCCAGGATCCTTAGCTTAGTGATGAGCTTAGAGGGCACTATGGTGTTGAATGCTGAGCTGTAGTCAATGAATAGCATTCTCACGTAGGTGTTCCTCTTGTCCAGGTGGGAAAGGGCAGTGTGGAGTGCGATAGAGATTGCATCATCTGTGGATCTGTTGGGGCGGTATGCAAATTGGAGTGGGTCTAGGGTTTCTGGGATTATGGTGTTGATGTGAGCCATGACCAGTCTTTCAAAGCACTTCATGGCTACAGACGTCAGTGCTACGGGTCGGTAGTCATTTAGGCAGGTTATCTTAGAGTTCTTGGGCACGGGGACTATGGTGGTCTGCTTGAAACATGTTGGTATTACAGACTCAGTCAGGGACATGTTGAAAATGTCAGTGAAGACACTTGCCAGTTGGTCAGCACATGCTCGGAGTACACGTCCTGGTAATCCGTCTGGCCCTGCGGCCTTGTGAATGTTGACCTGCTTAAAAGTCTTACTCACATCGGCTACGGAGAGCGTGATCACATAGTCGTCCGGAACAGCTGGTGCTCTCGTGCATGCTTCAGTGTTGCTTGCCTCGAAGCGAGCATAGAATTGGTTTAGCTCGTCTGGTAGGCTTGTGTCACTGGGCAGCTCGCGGCTGTGCTTCCCTTTGTAGTCTGTAATAGTTTTCAAGCCCTGCCACATCCGACGAGCGTCAGTATCTTTATCTTTATGCTGCTAATTGGAAACGTGTGAGGGGGATTGACATGGGATAGAGGACGGGGATGAGAGTTAGATCTTCATTGTTTTACCTCCAGTACTTGTTCTCCCCACTGTACATGAATCCATACGAAAGTCCATAAGAAGCCATTTTATACATTTCCAGCTCCCCCCTGTACCTCAGTCACCTGGTTATCTCCTGTTATGTACTGTAACGTCTGTCCGTCCACTGTGGTGATCTGCTGGGTGTACGTGGCCTCCACCTGGTCTTCCAGGCCTTGTTCCTGGGACACTATGATGTGGTCCTGACCCAGGGCCTGCTGTAGCTGCTCCGGACTGATGGTCTGTCCTGCCTGCAGGTCTGCAACAGAGAGAGAACAGCTGACTGATGGTCTGTCCTGCCTGCAGGTCTGCAACAGAGAAGAGAACAGTTGACTGATGGTCTGTCCTGCCTGCAGGGCTGCAACAGAGAGAGAACAGCTGACTGATGGTCTGTCCTGCCTGCAGGTCTGCAACAGAGAAGAGAACAGTTGACTGATGGTCTGTCCTGCCTGCAGGTCTGCAACAGAGAAGAGAACAGTTGACTGATGGTCTGTCCTGCCTGCAGGTCTGCACAGAGAGAACCTACCGATGTCTTCCTCCTAAAGACTGCACAGAGAACAGCTGACCGATGGTCTGTCTGCCTGCAGCTGCAGCTCGACCCAGGACTGCAACAAGGAGAGAGATCATTCGTATACCAGTAAAAAAATCAGTACCTGAGAATTGCATTAAACCAATTTATCTACAGTAATTCCTCTGCAACCCTGATCAGGTGTCAGGTGTCCTACCACCGACCACAGGGGTACCTCCAGGCCCTGTCCTCCGGGCCCCGTCTCAGGCCCTATCCTCCAGGCCCTGTCACCGCCTACCTCCGCCCTGTCACCCGGCCCTGTCCCCCGGCCTCCCTCAGGCCCTGTCCTCCAGCCCTACCTCGGCCCTTCCTCCCGGCCCCCCCCCCCCCCTCCAGCCCTGTCCACCGCCCTGTCCACCCGCCCTGTCTCAGCCTGTCCACCCGGCCTTCACCGCCTGCCTCAGGACCTGTCCTCGCCCTGTCCCCAGGCCTCCACCCGCCCTCTCCCGGCCCTGTCCACCCGCCCTCCACCCGGCCCTATCCTCCAGCCCTGTCCGTCCGTGTCTCCCGCCCTTCCTCCCAGCCCTGTCCTCCAGGCCCTGTTCCACCGGCCCTTCCACCCGGCCCTGTCCTCCAGGCCCTGTCCACCCGGCCCTGTCCAGCCGGCCCTGTCCTCCAGGCCCTGTCCTCCAGGCCCTGTCCACCCGGCCCTGTCCTCCAGGCCCTGTCCTCCAGGCCCTGTCCTCCAAGGTTCTCTACTGAAGCAGACAGTGTGTATTCATACCGGGGGACAGCAGATGTTCAGCAACCTCCAAGTCTTCAGGACTGACTAGCTGTTGTTCTGAACTGATGGGAAGATACTGGATCTGGGAAATTAAACACTTAACCTTCCATCTACTCTATCACACAGGGCACATTTCAATTCCTTATCCCAAAATACAGCCGTATTCTTGTTTGACTGTTTTAGGGGTTGAGTATTTTAGGAGCGATTATTTTGGGGCTTGATTGTTTTGTGATGGAGTGTTTTTGGGGTCCTCTACTCACCTGTTGCTCCGCAGGAAGGCCCCATCATTCTCATACTGGATGATCTGTCCATCTGACATCTGGATGCGGTTCCCGTCTTATAGCACCACGTACTCCTGGGATATTAAGTGTTGGACTCCTTCCTGAGAGATGATATACTGGACCTGGGGGGTGAAGGAGGACAATTACACAATATCTTCACTGTCTGTCCCGCCTCTTTTAGTCAAAGTTAAGTAGATATGTTATCTATAAGTATCTTTATGCTGCTAATTGGAAACGTGTGAGGGGGATTGACATGGGATAGAGGACGGGGGTGAGAGTTAGATCTTCATTGTTTTACCTCCAGTACTTGTTCTCCCCACTGTTACATGAATCAAAACGAAAGTCCATAAGAAGCCCATTTATACATTTCCAGCTCCCACCTGTACCTCAGTCACCTGGTTATTCCTGCCTGCAGGTCTGCAACAGAGAGAGAACAGTTGACTGATGGTCTGTCCTGCCTGAAGGACTGCAACAGAGAGAGAACAGTTGACCGATGGTCTGTCCTGCCTGCAGGGCTGCAACAGAGAGAGAACAGTTGACTGATGGTCAACAGAGGGGAGAAACACAACATCTCAGACAATGGCCAATAACAACATAAGTGTTAACATATATCCTACCAACGGGACATTAAAAACTGTAATATCTTATGTTTCACCGAGTCGTGGCTGAACGACGACATGAATAACATACAGCTGGTGGGGTTATACACTGTATCTGTTGACCTCCCGAGTGGCGCAGTGGTCGAAGGCCACTAGAGATCCTGGTTCGAATCCAGGCTCTGTCGTAGCCGGCCGCGACCGGGAGACTCATGGGGCGGCGCACAATTGGCCCAGCGTCGTCCAGGGTAGGGGAGGGAATGGCCGGCAGGGATGTAGCTCAGTTGGTAGAGCATGGCGTTTGCAACGCCAGGGTTGTGGGTTCGATTCCCACGGGGGGCCAGTATGAAAAAAATAAATATATATAATAATAATAATAATAATAATAATAATGTATGCACTAACTGTAAGTCGCTCTGGATAAGAGCGTCTGCTAAATGACTAAAATGTAAAAGTATCGGCAGGATAGAACAGCAGCCTCTGGTAAGACAAGAGGTGGCGGTCTATGTATATTTGTAAACAACAGCTGGTGCACGATATCTAAGGAATTCTTGAAGTTTTGCTCGCCTGAGGTAGAGTATCTCATGATAAGCTGTAGACCACACTATCAACCAACAGTTTTCATCTATATTCTTCGTAGCGGTCTATTTACCACCACAAACCAATGCTGGCACTAAGACTGCACTCAATGAAGAAACTTACATCCGTTTTACCTCCTTTCTACCAGCATGTTAAATGTGCAACCAGAGGGAAAAAAACTCTAGACCACCTTTACTCCACACACAGAGATGCGTACAAAGCTCTCCCTCGCCCTCCATTTGGCAAATCTGACCATAACTCTATCCTCCTGATTCCTGCTTACAAGCAAAAACTAAAGCAGGAAGCACCAGTGACTCAGTCAATAGAAAAATGGTCAGATGAAGCAGATGCTAAGCTACAGGACTGTTTTGCCATCACAGACTGGGATATGTTCCGGGATTCTTCCGATGGCATTGAGGAGTACACCACATCAGTCACTGGCTTCATCAATAAGTGCATCGATGACGTCGTCCCCACAGTGACTGTACGTACATACCCCAACCAGAAGCCATGGATTACAGGCAACATCCACACTGAGCTAAAGGGTAGAGCTGCCACTTTCAATTACTTCTATGCTCGCTTCGAGGCAAGTAACACTGAAACATGCATGAGAGCATCAGCTGTTCCGGACGACTGTGTGATCACGCTCTCCGTAGCCGATGTGAGTAAGACCTTTAAACAGGTCAACATTCACAAGGCCGCAGAGCCAGACGGATTACCAGGACGTGTACTCCAAGCATGCGCTGACCAACTGGCAAGTGTCTTCACTGACATTTTTAACCTCTCCCTGACTGAGTCTGTAATACCAACATGTTTCAAGCAGACCACCATAGTCCCTGTGCCCAAGAACACTAAGGTAACCTGCCTAAATGACTACCGACCCGTAGAACTCACGTCTGTAGCCATGAAGTGCTTTGAAAGGCTGGTCATGGCTCACATCAACACCATTATCCCAGAAACCCTTGACCCACCCTCATTTGCATACCGCTCCAACAGATCCACACAGATTATTGCGCTCCACACTGTCCTTTCACACCTAGACAAAAGGAACACCTACGTGAGAATGCTATTCATTGACTACAGCGTTCAACACCATATTGCCCTCAAAGCTCATCACTAAGCTAAGGATCCTGGGACTAAACACCTCCCTCTGCAACTGGATCCTGGACTTCCTGACGGGCCGCCCCCAGGTGGTAAGTGTAGGTAACAACACATCCGCCTCGCTGATCCTCAACACGGGGGCCCCTAAGGGGTGCGTGCTCAGTCCCCTCCTGTACTCCCTGTTCACTCATGACTGCTTGGTCAGGCACGACTCCAACGCCATCATTAAGTTTGTCGATGACACAACAGTGGTAGGCCTGATCAAGAAGAGGACCGAGCACGGCCCCATTCTCATCGACGGGGCTGTAGTGGAGCAGGTTGAGAGCTGTAAGTTCCTTGGTGTCCACATCACCAACAAACTAACATGGTCCAAGCACACCAAGACAGTCGTGAAGAGGGCACGACAAAACCTATTCCCCCTAAGGAGACTGAAAAGATTTGGCATGGGTCCTCAGTCCCTCAAAAGGTTCTACAGCTGCACCATCGAGAGCATCCTGACTGGTTGCATCACTGCCTGGTATGGCAACTGCTCGGCCTCTGACCGCAAGGCACTACAGAGGGTAGTGCGTACGACCCAGTACATCACTGGGGCCAAGCTTCCTGCCATCAAGAACCTCTATACCAGGTGGTGTCAGAGGAAGGCCCTAAAAATTGTCAAAGACTCCAGCCACCCTAGTCATAGACTGTTCTCTCTGCTAAAGCATGGGAAGCGGTACCGGAGCGACAAGTCTAGGTCCAAGAGCCTTCTAAACAACTTCTATCCCCCAAGCCATAAGACTCCTGAACATCTAATCAAATGGCTACCCAGACTATTTGCATTTGCCCCCCCCCCCCAAATGGGTTGGATGGAAGGAAATGGAGGACATCAGTGATTTATTCACCCAGTGAAATGACCTACATGTTGGTGTAAACGTGTGTGTTCCTTACACTGTAGCATGACGAGAGCCTCCTCATCACTGCTGACTATGAAGGTCTGCTGCTGGGAGCCTCCTCCAGAATGAGTCTTCCTCGTCGGAGGCTCCTGGCTGTGGAGACGCTCCATATGGAACTTGAGGTGGCCGTTACGATTAAACCTGATAGGTGCGACAGACCAGAAGGGTTCCCTAAGGTGCTTTCATAACTTTTTCTGTACACAACAACAACAAAAAAACCATTCTAAGCTGCCGTCACCCTCCCAACACAATAACAAAGTGTATTCTCAACGGCCTCAAGATGCCCTAATTGGTTGAATACCTCTGTCCACAGATCTGGCAGGTGAAGGGCTTCTCGTTGGTATGCGTCATCATGTGCCTCCTCAGGTCCTTCTTGTTCCTGGAGGCGAAGCTGCAGCTGGGACAGGTGTGAGGCCGCAGGTAGGCATGCACGCCCATGTGGGTCTGAGAAAGGAATGGTACATCGATAACTAAAATGATAGCATGCTTTGGATAGAACAAACTGTAATTTACTAACTAGGTCAATGCTGCCTTTCAAGAACAAAAAAAACATTCTTTGGGGCAAAAAAAGTCCCTTCATATGTATTAAAAGGGTTAATCTCAAACTCTTTCCTCAATTTATTGGGTGTGCTCTCCTCACCACCACCTCAAAACGTAAGAGGGTAGAGAGAAGAACAGAGGAAATCCGAGGGGAGGAAACTTATCTACTACTCCGAAGCTCTCCTCTAGGGAGGGCACAAGGAATCAACAAAATACTTCTGAGATTTACCCAAAGGCTGAGAAATGATAAAAAAAGACCCACCTTGACGTCTGGCCAGGAGGAGGCAGTGAAGTCACAGTCAGGACACTTGAAGGTGGACGGGTCGATATGGGCCCTCTTGTGGTTCTCCATGTCACTGCGGCCGTGGAACGACTCCGTGCAGATACGACAGGAGAACCTCTTGGGGTTGAGCTGGTTCTGATCCTGGGGGGATCCCACCATGGAGGGGGAACCGGGGGCCTCACTGCTTAGCTGAAGAGAGGGAGAGAGAGAGAGATTGAGGATGAGACAGCAGACTACTGATTGCCTTCTCAGACATCTACAGTTCAACTGAACAGGGAAGAGTTTCCCGAAAGACTGAGCATTAACATCATCTTAGGCACATTGCAGGCACTGTATTCCTGTGGAAATGTTCACAAGGAAAACTGTTCTCTAACGCCCCCCCTGCCACAGTATGTGGTTCTCCTGTGGCCGGCTTACCTCCACCTGCTGTAGAATGCCATCCCCCAGACCAGAGGTCAGGTAGTAGTGGCTGTCTCTGTTCTCTTGGAGTGTTTCTGTTCCATCCTGGTCTTCCTCCATGGGCTGGGGACTGCCCTCACCACTACTGAAAACACGGTGAAGTGGAAGTCAACCAAGTTCATGTATCTCCAAAAATGTTTGATACTTTTTGAAAAATGGGAGAAGAAACTTATTTCAGCGCTTCAAAAAAATCATTGGTAAAACATCATCAGGAATGTCAGTTGTGTATAGCAGATCAGAAAGACAGAATGGTGCTCATTAGCTAATGGCCAGTGCTGTGTTGGCCAGGTTAGGCCAGGTGAGTCCAGATTCTACTCTACCTGTATCCAGGTCCGGTGCTTTGCATCTCCTGTGTAGCTTGTTCCATCCGTTCCACCACACTGAAGCCCTCTGACTCCTTATAGGCCTGGATGGATATCTGGGTAATCTCTCCATTCTCATCGGTCCCAGCCTCATAGACCTCCTCGACCTCTTGTACCAGGGTCTCCCCGTTCTCAGACACCTGGAACGTCACAACCTAAAGGACCACAACAGAAATTAAAAAGACCCCACTTTTTTTTTTTTTTTTTATAATTTTTGGGCGCTTTTAATTTGATTTAGATATCATGAAATAGGTGGGGAGACCGAGAGAAAATGAAACGCAGAATAGTGGTGGGACTGGGATTGGTACGCACACTGGGGGGGGTTGGTATTGTAATATATGGGCTTTAGACGACGGCATTACCCGCTAGAACATAATTTCTTAAATGCTGGTCCTGGGGACCCAAAGGGATGCAAGTTTTAGTTGTTGCCTTAGCACTCACACACCTGATTCAAATCAAAGGCTTGGTGATGAGTTGATTAGTTGAATCAAGTGTCTGAGTGAACGGTCAAAAGCAAAAAAGTGCACCCCTTTGGGCCCCCGAGAACAGGATTAAATGAGAAATTGGCAATTTTTTTAACCAAATCTCTATTTTTGTAGTTGTACATGTTATATAATAATAATATGCCATTTAGCAGACGCTTTTATCCAAAGCGACTTACAGTCATGTGTGCATACATTTTTTACGTATGGGTGGTCCCGGGGATCGAACCCACTACCCTGGCGTTACAAGCGCCATGCTCTACCAATTGAGCTACAGAGGACTACAGTCTGTACCCTTATAGAAGGGTACAGACTAGAAGAAGGGTACAGACACTGTTTTTTTTGTTGTTGCAATTTCACTTGTTTTTGAGAAACTTCCCCCAGCCAGCGATTCACTTCCTCATCCTCGTTGTGCAGTATGGGGTCTCTGAAACAAAGGCTCCAAAACCACATAAATACGTCCTTTTAGAAATGGAAAAGCTCTCAATATAGTCCAATTTCTCCTTTAATCCTGTTCTCGGGGACCCAAAGGGGTTCACTCAGACACTGGATTCAACTAATCAACTCATCACCAAGCCTTTGATTTGAATCAGGTGTGTGAGTGCTAAGGCAACAACTAAAACTTGCATCCCTTTGGGTCCCCAGGACCAGCATTTAAGAAATTATGTTCTAGCGGGTAATGCCGTCGCCTAAAGCCCATATGTACAGTACCAACCCTCTAGTGTGTGTACGAAATTGCAACAACAAAAAAAAAAGTGTCTGGACCCTTCTACAACATGCAATTTACATACAAATTGAGATTTGGTTGTAAATAAGCAAAATTCTCCTTTAAGAAACGCTATACCAGCTTAAAATAAATTAAAATCAAATCAACCAACCTTTTGAGCTCCCCCGGTCGCTGAGGTAACCCCTGTCCAGGAGCCCGCTTCTAGAACCTCGGAGTCCGATGATTTCACCATCTGTACCTGAGGAGCACACACAGACAGACTGCTAATCCAATACACAACCTAGTCTGTCCCATTCATGCAGACCCGTGTAGCATCCCTGTATGAATCATTGCACAGGTAAGTAAAACAACAGAGGTCTACTCAATGAGCCAATGTGTGACCCAGCAGTACCTGTAGAGAGTTTTTCACCAGCTGTCTGGCGTTGCTCATATTCAACAGCAGATCCAGAGCATTCTGGGCTGACAGGTCTGAGTTCCCGGCTGCTGTAGAGATGGAGAGAGATTAAAGTTATTATTGTGTCATGCTTCACAATGCATTATAAACGTTACCATTGGGCTTGGAAGAGATCTTAGGCCATAAGAAAGAGTCTCGGTGGGGCAGTCGGTCACCTGAAGAAGAAGGAAGACGAAAAATAACTGACCCTGTTCGTAAGTGATGGTGGTGTTTCCCATTGCATCTTGGGAGACTGAGGCGTTCTGCATCGTCTGCATGGCTTGTAGGGTGTCAGGATCCACTGCTACCTAACACAACAGTCAAACATTCCCAAAACTATCCATTAGATAATTATTCATTCCGAGTTACTGGCTTCTACTGTTTTTCCTTTAGAAGACCCACTGAAGCCCCCCAAACGCACGTTCATCTCTATATTGAGAGGCATACAGAGATATAAAGTACAGTTTAGCTCATCCCCAGGCGTACTAGAGTGTTCTGTAGGCCCGGTGTGTCGTCGTGTTGCTGTTTGAGGTCCTCTATCTGCTGCAGGGTGAAGAAGGGTCTCCTCCTTCGTCTGACGGGGGAGGAGCTAGAGATGAGTAGCGCTCCACTCCTCAAACGCCTCCGGGTGGCGACACTGGACGTGCAGACGCAGGTTCTTACGGTGCTTCGTCGTGAAGTGGCACATCTCACAGGAGAATGGCTTCTCTCCTAGAGGGCGAAAGGAGGGCACATTAGATCTACCATGGGGTAAATATGCTAAAGCAGTGATCCTAAATCCTTCTGCTCCTAGATCTTCAACACCTTGATTAGCTGAATATGGGGTGGCAGAGAGGTTAGAGAAGAGAGCCATTGACCGAAGGGTCGCGGGTTCGAATCCCAGGTACAGCTGAAAACTGGTGGGGTTGAGGGGTAAATAATTGTAATAGCTAGTGAACTAAACTGATCGTGATGGAGAAGATCACAGTGACTCACTTATGTGTTTGATGGCCAGGTGTGAGACCAGGAAGCCCTCTTCAGAGGTGGAGTATTTACAATAGTCACATTTAAAGGGTTAGGGTTGGGTTTAACCCAATGAGTCCCACTGCGACGCCGGCGCAATTTGGACTTCCAACCCCTTTTAAACATTGTGTGGCTTGTACCATTGGATTTGTCTATTTCTTCCACATCTGTTGGTACCAACCATTGGTCTGTGTGATTAACGGGGGAGGAGCTAGAGAGGTGTTTGTGAGACAAGGGCGGATCCCGAAGGGGCCCGGGGCCGGGTTTTTTACAAAAATGTTTGTAGAGTCCGAATGGTTTGAGCTAAAAACGATTAAAAGCCATCTATGAAAAGCTGAGACTCAAACACGCACATGTAACATGTTATGCTCTATGATGCTCACAAGCTACAGAGCCATTAGAAGGTAAGGGGTTCTTCTACATAGAAGATAGTTGCTGTTACAAACTCCACACAGTTGTCACTGACTAGTTGGATATTAATTTCCTACTGAGCTAACAAGTTCTGTACTTACAGCATTCATATGAATTCATTTTTATCAGGTTTTTGCTTTGGCGGACCTTATTGTTTTTATTGACATTTGAATGCAACTGTTTATTAGGGCTGTCCCTGACAAAAAATATATATTGGTAGACCAAATTTTAAAAAGTGTATTTTTCCATACATAGACACACCCTGTGTGTTAAGAAAATCAACTATATATGCATTGAGCTTGTCTGATGGTTTAAGCGCACTGTTTGATGAAATAAGACACAAATGATTCAAGAGGGAGCCAGAGATCAAGATAACCAGAAGACAAAAACCTTAACCTGTCCCGGCCATCCTCCTCCCGCTCCTACTGGCTTTCGCAGATTCTGCCGTTACTCTCCTGAAGTTGCCATTAATAGGTTACACGAGGAGTCTGCAACCTTTCTCATGTGGAATGCCAATTTATCTTGCCATTTCTACCGATCTGCGTGCCAGTTATGGTTTTCATATGCACATTTTCGTGGAACAGTTTCATTTAATATATAATAACATCTTCGTATCTCAAAATCATTGTCATGTGGTTAATCAACATTTCTATCCAAATCTAAATGAAAATAAACCTAAAAAAATGTACTTCTATTGCCATTGCCAACTATGTAGAAATAGCCCATAAAGCCAACAAATAAAAACATCCAACAAAAAATAAATATCCTATAAATCACATTGGCTGCACATGGCCTGTCTGCAACAAACTTAAAACATTATATCAACTATTAAATTGGGTCCTGCCTGAAGCATGCACTAGCAAACTTGCAACATTGTATAAAATATTCTGGGCCTTCAGAGTTTCCTGCGCCAGTGAGCTTGGGACAGACACAGCTGTAGGCTACTTGATCAAGAGATAAGTAGTAATCAGGGAGGTCTGTTTTATGATGTTTCCAATCGATCAGAGCATGACATTTTTCCCTTTCACGCTGAGTGGTGATCGAAAGGGAGAGAGCTGGAAAGATTTTACAAATACATTGAGGAACTATTGTCATTCTCAATGGATGTTTGCTTGCTGTTTGAGGTGAAGAAAACATTACTTTGAGAAGCTCCACAGCTCATTAGTGGTGGTGCGTTAAGCCAATCAGAAATACTATCAGATCCCCAAATGGGCACATTTATATGCCTATAGGCCTACTTCTATGCATAATCAGGTGCGCATCCTTACTCAACAAGTGTAGCATAGGTTGTGCGTTCTGCAAACAACGTGTCCACTCCGACAATGAGAACAGTAAAAGACTGGAATAATTACATACGCATCAAGAGACATTACCGTAACCAAACAAACATTGTAGATGAGTAATTATAGGAATTAATGCAAATTAATTACTTAAAAATCATACAATGTGATTTTCTGGATTTTTATTTTAGATTCCGTCTCTCACAGTTGAAGTGTACCTATGATAAAAATTAAAGACCTCTACATGCTTTGTAAGTAGGAAAACCTGCAAAATCGGCAGTGTATCAAATACTTGTTCTCCGCACTGTATGTAATGGGGAATTGATAGACACTAACATTCAAAAGCAAACAATTCACACAATGAAGTTATGAAACAATGAACGTGCACAAATTGTCACTCTCCCCTTCTCCTTTGACTGTGCCATCCCTGTGGCCTCCGCAATGGATTAGTTCACTGAGATGGGCGCCAATAATACAATCTTGTGTGCCATAAAAACTTTTTAAAAAATTATCATAATATAAATAATAATATACAAATGTTGGTCGACCAACAGCCTATCGATCTAACAATCGACCAGCCGACTAATTGGGGTCAGCCCAACTGTTTATGTCAAATAGTTTAGTGTTCTACTTGTAGCTATGGTTGTCCTGAAAAGAAAATGGTAAAATATAGACTAAATATAAGGGCTGGACATGCAGATAAATGAAAGTCATAAATGAAATGTTTTCTGTGGTCTCGAGACTGATAGTGTTAAGAGTCAGGGTCAGGTGTAGAACTCACCTGTGTGTTTGATGGCCAGGTGTGAGACCAGGAAGTCCTCTTTAGAGGTGGAGTATTTACAGTAGTCACATTTAAAGGGCCGGTCGTTGTTGTGGGACAGCTGGTGGTTGAGCAGGAGCTTCTTGTTGTCACAGTCATAGTCACAGAACTCACACTTGACCCTGGTGAACAGAGACATGCATTAGGCAGGTCACAGGATTTTAACACTGTGTAGTGTATGATAAGGAGAAAACATTTTGAAACAGGGTGAAACAGGGAGGTGGGTGATTCTGCAACTTCGGGCACTTTGGCCCTGCAAGCTTTCAGAAATTAAAAAAACGTATTGAAACACCATTTTAATAATATTATAATTGTCTTTGATTTGTCTAGAAATAATATCTGATAATGGCTGCGATTGTACTATTCAGCAATTTATTTATTTTTGTCATTTTTCTCAGACAGCCATAGACAAATTTAATTTCCATCACGTCATTAAACATCATTTTTAGTTGAAAATGAAATACCATACAATTAACTTAAAACACATTTCTTACACATTTGTACATTCACTTGTATTGAATATTATTTTAAGTGATTTTTAAGGTTTTCCTAATATTAATAATTCAACACGACGCCTGAATGTATAAACTTGCCTTTGTGACAGCTGAAAACATTTATTTATCATGAAAAATAAGATATTTCCACCCAACCTTTTTGTGAGATTATGATGACAACCATAGGATTTCCCTATCTAAAACAAATCAAATGTAAATTATACATAATATACTAAATTTACCAAAAAAATATGGGTGTGGTGGAAATGACATCTATGTAAAAAATAAAAACGTATGAAAACAATATTTTATTGCAACCATTTTTGAACAACAACCATTGCTAAACATTTAATTCATATAAGACAAAAGTAAGATCCAAAATTAGCCGATGGGCAGAGCTCAAGGAAGTAGGCCAGTGTTTTTGAGAGATGGGCCCAGATAGCAGAGGGGTCATGCCGCATAGAAGAGCTCAGTGAGAAAAGTGACACTGTATCATTTGTGGTATATCCAACACAGGTGTGGAGGGTCACCTGCTTGTGAGAATCACCAAAGTGAACTTGCTGGATTTCACTTGTGTATTTTACACAGGTAGTTCTCTGCAAAGCCAATATGCACGATGATCTCCTCTTTCCGCAGATTCTCTTTTAAAATTATCTCAGTATGGAGTATTGCTGTCGAATGTCGTACACGTGTTTCCCCAACTTCTCTTACATTTCTTTGGAGAAGTCCTCCAGTAGAATCTGCAGTGCGCCACACACCTTTTCTTTTACTGTCAAATGTACAGGGAACTTCTCAGTTTCCCTCTTTGTTTTTCTTCTCTCTTCAGCTCTTCCGTTTTCCCTCTCGAACCACCATGTCTGCTCAGCAGCATCAAAGTCAAGATGTTTAAAAGCTATTTTGCTTGGCAAAAGGGAGCACTCTGTGTACCTGCGCTCTTTCTTCAGGTTCTCACAGCACAAAGACTCAATAAAAAGGTTATCAACGTTGCTTCAGCTGATCACTTTGTGATACTGTAGTTTGTCCGCCATGAACTGGAGGTTGACGTGGGTTTTGCAGAGGTACGTGTCCCTATCCTGGACTGTTGGCTTGACAACCCAAAAATGACATATTTTACAGAATTCATAGTAGGACATTTTTAATCTCTGAATATTCCCTCTTAAAATTCTGATAAAAGGTTCTGAATTGTGCCATTCAAGAAGCGCTTCTGCTCGTTTTTCTTGTTCCTCGTTAGTGCCCTTTTTCCCTGTTGTTTACATTTACATTTTAGTCATTTAGCAGACGCTCTTATCCAGAGCGACTTACAGTTAGTTGTTGCTCTACTGTTGTCGTCACATCATCAGGTGAATTTCTCTTCTGTTGTTTTGTTAATTCTGTTACACTGCTTTTTCCTGGACTATTGAAGACTTGTTGGCCTGTTTTAATTTGCCCCTCATTGCTTTTGCTGAAAATCCAAATTCTCCGTTTGCGGCTTTGACCAGGCCATACTTTCTCAGGATGTTGCGCCTCTGAGCATTTTTTTGTCCTTGGCACTGTTGCGCATTTTTTGATACTTTTGCTTGACTCTGCAATGATGGCATTTTTGAAACGATAAAATCTCAAGTTCTTCTTCGTTTGCTGTTTTGTCTCTCCATCTTCATCAGTTGATTAAAAAAAAAATACATTTTGTATTTCTCAAGATTTCCGTAAAGCTTTGTCACGCAAAGATCTCTGTATGTTTTTGAGCGAAACCTTCCAACCTTTTTTCCTTCCGGCAAGTATTCGACTTCTCATTCCTGTTGCAGACAACGAGGAAAGGGTATCAGGGCGTGCATCAGGGGCAGGTAAGTTAGGGGCAGGTATGTTGCCCTCTGGCTGCAAGTCATCTGGTGACTGAGGTGGTGTGTTGCCTGATAGGTAGGTCTCCATTGCAACTGTTCTCTTTAAATGTCTTCTATTCCATTGGTTGCATTTCCATTGCCTTCTCTCGCTTCGTAATCTCAGAGATAGATTTCACTTCTCCCGTTTCTTCCAGTATCTCTCCCTGTCTTTTTGCAGATGTTCCTGGTATCGTATAGGATCATTTCTTATTTGGTTTCTATGACCTCTGTGACCTCTGTGCTGTTTTATGTGCCATCTTCTGAAAACAAAAGAAAAATACTACTTAAGTTTTCAACTTGTGCGGCTTTGACCACAGCATTTTCTAGATTAAATAAATGTAAAACATGATTAAATAAGCCTAAAGTAATAAAACTATTAACATAAATGGATTTTTGTCATTTCCACCACGTTCTGTCATTTCCACCACAGTTAAGTTTGTGATGGAAATGACTGATGGAAATGACGCTTCTACAGTTTTTGGAGAAAAATGACAGACTGCTTAGCATGCTTTGGCTATTATTACAGCTAGTACAGTGAGGGGAAAAATGTATTTGATCCCCGGCTGATTTTGTACGTTTGCCCACTGACAAAGACATGATCAGTCTATAATTTTAATGGTAGGTTTATTTGAACAGTGAGACAGAATAACAACAAAAAAATCCAGAAAAACGCATGTCAAAAATGGTATAAATTAATTTGCATTTTAATGAGGGAAATAAGTATTTGACCCCCTGCAAAACATGACTTAGTACTTTGTGGCAAAACCCTTGTTGGCAATCACAGAGGTCAGACGTTTCTTGTAGTTGGCCACCAGGTTTGCACACATCTCAGGAGGGATTTTGTTCCACTCCTCTTTGCATATCTTCTCCAAGTCATTAAGGTTTCAAGGTTGATGTTTGGCAACTCAAACCTTCAGCTCCTCCACATATTTTCTATGGGATTAAGGTCTGGAGACTGGCTAGGCCACTCCAGGACCTTAATGTGCTTCTTCTTGAGCCACTCCTTTGTTGCCTTGGCTGTGTGTTTTGGGTCATTGTCATGCTGGAATACCCATCCACGACCCATTTTCAATGCCCTGGCTGAGGGAAGGAGGTTCTTACCCAAGATTTGACGGTACATGGCCCCGTCCATCATCCCTTTGATGCAGTGAAGTTGTCCTGTCCCCTTAGCAGAAAAACACCCCCAAAGCATAATGTTTCCACCTCCATGTTTGACGGTGGGGATGGTGTTCTTGGGGTCATAGGCAGCATTCCTCCTCCTCCAAACACGGCGAATTGAGTTGATTCCAAAGAGCTCCATTTTGGTCTCATCTGATTCCAAAGAGCTCCATTTTGGTCACCAATCTGACTCAGCTTGGTGACTATGGTCCCAGCTGCCTTGAGATCATTGACAAGATCCTCCCGTGTAGTTCTGGGCTGATTCCTCACCGTTCTCATGATCATTGCAACTCCACGAGGTGAGAGCTTGCATGGAGCCCCAGGCCGAGGGAGACTGACAGTTATTTTGTGTTCCATTTGCGAATAATCGCACCAACTGTTGTCCCCTTCTCACCAAGCTGCTTGGCGATGGTCTTGTAGCCCATTCCAGCCTTGTGTAGGTCTACAATCTTGTCCCTGACATCCTTGGAGAGCTCTTTGTTCTTGGCCATGGTGGAGAGTTTGGAATCTGATTGATTGATTGCTTCTGTGGACAGGTGTCTTTTATACAGGTAACAAACTGAGATTAGGAGCACTCCCTTTAAGAGTATGCTCCTAATCTCAGCTCGTTCCCTGTATAAAAGACACCTGGGAGCCAGAAATCTTTCTGATTGAGAGGGGGTCAAATACTTATTTCCCTCATTAAAATGCAAATCAATTTATAACATTTTTTACATGCGTTTTTCTGGATTTTTTTGTTGTTATTCTGTCTCTCACTGTTCAAATAAACCTACCATTAATATTATAGACTGATCATTTCTTTGTCAGTGGGCAAACGTACAAAATCAGCAGGGGATCAAATACTTTTTTCCTCTCACTGTATATATAGTTTACACTAAATACATTATATCTATATTAAATAAATCTACCACAAATTAAATAAATTATAGGCTGTTTGGAAATGACTGACAATATAAATATTCTCTACACAAGCAATATTTACCTCTGGACATCACATCTGGAACAACTGTCCGCTGCAGCCATGTGCTTCAGTGTCACAATACGTTTCCATGGTAACTAAGTTAACATTCTCTTGACAAAACTTTATTTATGAGGAATTTGTCCTCAGTGCTGGAAATGACACCACTACCAAAGGACAGGTATATTTTTCATTAAAAAAACAATATAAAAGGGCATACTCAAAATAAATGTTGATATAGATTTTATTTCATTGACTCTTTCTTTAATAATTACACATTACATAATGTTTTCTCATAGAAAAACATAGTAGAAGCTCAAAAGTCTGGGACAAGGGCAAAAAAGTAGCTAAAATACTTAATAGAGAGGTGTTTAAAAAATCTGGGGTGATTGTAGTGTAAACTTAACATATAAAGTATAAAAACGTTTAAAAAACAAAAAAATAGGCTATGTTCTGCTTAGAGGCACAATGAAAATGGCGCTACATCCTGTACTGACCTGCTGTTGTCCACACTCTGGATGTGTGTTAGGAGATGCATCTTGAACGTATATCTCTTCTTGAAGGACTTCCCACACTGTGAAGTCAAAGCACAAACAGAGATTTATAAAGATTTTAATGAAAAGCTGAGATTAAAACTAGAAACCTGATTGATTTGAGTGGATTATTGGAATTGTTCATCACGGTCAGATGATGTGTTACCTTGTCACACATGTGTGGTTTCTCAGCACTGTGTGTCTTCATGTGCTGAGTGAGTCTCTTCTGCATGGGGTAGACTCTGTGGCACACTGGACACGGGAACGACAACACCTTATACACCTGCTGAGAGTCAGAAAGACCACACTGGACACGGGAATGACAACACCTTATACACCTGCTGAGAGTCAGAAAGACCACACTGGACACGGGAATGACAACACCTTATACACCTGCTGAGAGTCAGAAAGACCACACTGGACACGGGAACGACAACACCTTATACACCTGCTGAGAGTCAGAAAGACCACACTGGACACGGGAATGACAACACCTTATACACCTGCTGAGAGTCAGAAAGACCACACTGGACACGGGAATGACAACACCTTATACACCTGCTGAGAGTCAGAAAGACCACACTGGACACGGGAACGACAACACCTTATACACCTGCTGAGAGTCAGAAAGACCACACTGGACACGGGAATGACAACACCTTATACACCTGCTGAGAGTCAGAAAGACCACACTGGACACGGGAACGACAACACCTTATACACCTGCTGAGAGTCAGAAAGACCTGTACAAATACATCTGGCTGGTACAGACGGACCATACGACTCCTATGGCATAAAAACAAGATATCTTACTGGGTTTAAAACCTTTATTCAGATATAATAAACCTGCTATGGCATGACAACAAGATCCCTCAATAGGTTTATAACATGTTTATACCTGGGGTGATCTGGATAGAAAAAGCCTATCTAGGTTGACCAACTATGGTAACTATGGTAACTCAACATTTATAGATAAAAAGGGGAAAATACTTACAGACTCAGACTTTGTTTTCCTGTGAAAGGATGAAAAAATAAAGTTACTGGATCTAATGATTGATTGATCAAATGATCGATCAAGCTTTTAGTATTTTAGATCGAGATCGATCGGTCTCCAGCTAAAAACCAATAAAGGTCAATGTGCCATTTTGGTCTGGTAATGTGAGTTGTGTGGAGCTCACAGGTGAATGTCCCACATGGTGTCAGGAGAGAACATACTTGTCCTGGTTGAGTACTGCTGAGTGTATGATAACGTCCTGTGTGTGTGCGTGTACATACTGGTCCTGGTTGAGTACTGCTGAGTGTATGATAACGTCCTGTGTGTGTGCGTGTGTACATACTGGTCCTGGTTGAGTACTGCTGAGTGTACGATAACATTTACATTTACATTTTAGTCATTTAGCAGACGCTCTTATCCAGAGCGACTTACACTTAGTGAGTGCATACATTATTTTTTTATTTTTCATACCCCCCGTGGGAATCGAACCCACAACCCTGGCATTGCAAACGCCATGCTCTACCAACTGAGCTACATCCCTGCCGGCCATTCCCTCCCCTACCCTGGACGACACTGGGCCAATTGTGCACCGCTCCATGGGTCTCCCGGTCGCGACCGGCTACGACAGAGCCTGGATTCGAACCAGGTTCTCTAGTGGCACAGCTAGCACTGCAATGCAGTCCTGTGTGTGTGCGTGTACATACTGGTCCTTGTTGTGTATTGCTGAGTGTCTGTTGACATCCTTCTTATACACACTGCTGTAGTCACACACCTCACACTTAAAGGGCTTGTTCCCCTGGTGGTTGAACATGTGTTCCTGTTAACACAGCAGAGACCACAGGCTCTTATCATTCCCACTGTGGTTATTACAGACAGTACAGGGAACAGACCAGGCCTGAGACACGAGAGAACAACTGAAGACTAATTCAATGATTAAAGAAGCAGTGTAATTAATTTACAATAAAGATGATGCTGTAATGAGGGCTATATACAGTGAGGGAAAAAAAGTATTTGATCCCCTGCTGATTTTGTACGTTTGCCCACTGACAAAGAAATGATCAGTCTATAATTTTAATGGTAGGTTTATTTGAACAGTGAGAGACAGAATAACAACAACAAAATCCAGAAAAACGCATGTCAAAAATGTTATAAATTGATTTGCATTTTAAATGAGGGAAATAAGTATTTGACCCCCTCTCAATCAGAAAGATTTCTGGCTCCCAGGTGTCTTTTATACAGGTAACGAGCTGAGATTAGGAGCACACTCTTAAAAGGAGTGCTTCTAATCTCAGCTTGTTACCTGTATAAAAGACACCTGTCCACAGAAGCAATCAATCAATCAGATTCCAAACTCTCCACCATGGCCAAGATCAAAGAGCTCTCCAAGGATGTCAGGGACAAGATTGTAAACCTACACAAGGCTAGAATGGGCTACAAGACCATCGCCAAGCAGCTTGGTGAGAAGGTGACAATAGTTGGTGCGATTATTCGCAAATGGAAGAAACACAAAATAACTGTCAATCTCCCTCGGCCTGGGGCTCCATGCAAGATCTCACCTCGTGGAGTTGCAATGATCATGAGAACGGTGAGGAATCAGCCCAGAACTACACGGGAGGATCTTGTCAATGATCTCAAGGCAGCTGGGACCATAGTCACCAAGAAAACAATTGGTTAACACACTACGCCGTGAATGACTGAAATCCTGCTGCGCCCGCAAGGTCCCCCTGCTCAAGAAAGCACATATACAGGCCCGTCTGAAGTTTGCCAATGAACATCTGAATGATTCAGAGGAGAACTGGGTGAAAGTGTTGTGGTCAGATGAGACCAAAATGGAGCTCTTTGGCATCAACTCAACTCACCGTGTTTGGAGGAGGAGGAATGCTGCCTATGACCCCAAGAACACCATCCCCACCGTCAAACATGGTGGAAACATTATGCTTTGGAGGGGGTTTTTCTGCTAAGGGTACAGGACAACTTCACCGCATCAAAGGGACGATGGACGGGGCCATGTACCGTCAAATCTTGGGTGAGAACCTCCTTCCCTCAGCCAGGGCATTGAAATTGGGTCATGGATGGGTATTCCAGCATGACAATGACCCAAAACACACGGCCAAGGTAACAAAGGAGTGGCTCAAGAAGAAGCACATTAAGGTCCTGGAGTGGCCTAGCCAGTCTCCAGACCTTAATCCCATAGAAAATCTGTGGAGGGAGCTGAAGGTTCGAGTTGCCAAACGTTAGCCTCGAAACCTTAATGACTTGGAGAAGATCTGCAAAGAGGAGTGGGACAAAATAATAATAATAATAATAATAATATGCCATTTAGCAGACGCTTTTACCCATAGCGACTTACAGTCACGCGTGCATACATTTTTATTTATGGGTGGTCCCGGGGATCGAACCCACTACCCTGGCGTTACAAGCGCCATGCTCTACCAATTGAGCTACAGAGGACCACAAATTCCTCAAAGGACCACAAAAGCCAACTACAAGAAACATCTGACCTCTGATTGCCAGCAAGGGTTTTGCCCTTGTACTAAGTCATGTTTTTGCAGAGGGGTCAAATACTTATTTCCCTCATTAAAATGCAAATCAATTTATAACATTTTTGACATGTGTTTTTTTCTGGATTTTTTTGTTGTTATTCTGTCTCTCACTGTTCAAATAAACCTACCATTAAAATTATAGACTGATCATGTCTTTGTCAGTGGGCAAACTTACAAAATCAGCAGGGGATCAAATACTCCCCCCCCCTCACTGTACATTTGATTGACCGACTGACTGACTGGACTGTATGCCCCTGGCCTACTCACCTTGAGCGAGGACCAGCGTTTGCAGCGGTAGTTACACTGCAGGCATTTGAAGCACTCTGGGTCGTTTCCTTGGTGAGAGTCTACGTGGAACCTCAGGTCCTCCTGGGACAGGAAGCGAGAGCCGCAGATCCAACAGCTGTGAGGCCTCAGGAGGGGCTTCAGAGACTTATAACACCTGGTGATACACACAGGGAGGGGGGAGTGACGGTATTCGGTTGGAAGAGCTCTGTCTGCGGCTACATCACGTAATACCCTTTCCAACAGTACAGATCTGTGCTGTACGCAACCACCATGGTCGCTGGAAGGGACAATGTCAAAAGTCTAAAATCCACGCTATCCCAGGACAGTTCGATGCAGGTATTCAGAGATACAGTAGCTCACTTCCAGGTGTCAGTAATAATGAGTCTTACTTGCGGTTCATGTACTTCTTGTATTTCTTTCTGAGAAACCGCTTTGAGGGTCGACCTCGTTTCCTGGGGAAAAACTCTGCCTCCTCCGGCCTCCCATTGGGTGACGGGTCTTTGTTCTCAGTCTGACTGGCTGATGCCGGCTTCCGCTGCTTTTCCATTGGCCAAGGAAGCTGATCCGTTTCCCAGGCCTGAGGAACTGGCCTCCTCCGAGCCTTGAGGGTCCACACTGCTGTTAGCTCTCTCACCCTCAGCTTCTGTCCTCAGCCAAAACAAGGGAAATACAGGGTAGAGTTCATGCATTAGAAACCTATTCAATAACAGCTTGGAGAATGAAAACTGCACACTATTGTCTTCTTGCAAGTGAACTTTGGAAAGCCTTGACTCAAACATGGAGAGACGGAAACAGCTGAGAGTGTATTGTGCAGTCAATGTGAGCATGGCGAGTATATAATGCCGACAGTAGTACCCACCCTTGCCATTGTAGCTGCCCTCTGTGGAGGTGAACTTCCTGGGGCGTCCCACCCTGCGGCGGGGGCGGTCTGTGGAGGAGCAGGGAGGAGGGGCAGGCTGTCTGCCCCTACAGTCCTCATCTGCTGGGTTATAGTCACTGTCCTCTGGAGGGAGAGAGTGAGTGTGTGAATCCCAAATCGACACCCAATGCGTTGGTGTAGATCTGAGAGGGTTAGATATGTGTAAACAATATAAATGAGTAAGTGATGAGAGCGGACGAGTGAGTGACAAACGGACCGGCCGACGGACCGGCTGACCGACGGGCTGACGGACCGACCGACCGGCTGACCGACGGACCGACCGACTGGCTGACCGACTGACTGGCTGACCGACGGACCGACCGACTGGCTGACCGACCGACTGGCTGACCGACGGACCGACCGACTGGCTGACCGATGGACCGACCGACTGACTGGCTGACCGACTGACTGGCTGACCGACGGACCGACCGACTGGCTGACCGACTGACTGGCTGACCGACGGACCGACCGACTGGCTGACCGACTATCTGCTTTTTGTGACAAGTGCTAATATTGAAAAACTTGACAGGGATCTCTACGTACCTTCAGGGTCATCGATGGCCCCAGCGTCTACGATGTCATCGTCCTCTGGCTCCTCAGGCTGGGGCTCTGGTTTCACCTCAGCCTGCTGACGGGCCAACGTATCACTACGCCTGGGCCGGCCACGACCACGCTTCTTAGGAGGGGGGCCACCTGGAAGTCACACAGCACACCACCAATCAGATCATTGTATTCTATACAGGACCATCAATCAGATCATCAAATCGAATTTTCCCTTTGGTGATTGATTTAGGCATGTTGCTTTAAGTTTCTAGTGGAGCAGAGAACCTCAGTTTGGGAGCTAATTAAGTACTATCTTGTTTTATTTGATCATATTCCATACAGGCCTCTTTGGAAGCGCGCTTGTTCGATAAACGATAAAGGGTTGTATTAGTCTATTTTCCCCGGGGGATGAATAAAGTTTGAATCCAGTTAATCCATCTGAGGATAAACAGTTTTAATCTCATTAATTCAGTTGAGGATAAATAAAGTTTGATTCCATTTGAATTCAGTTTCTGCCCTCAGCTGTGTCTAGGTCTATGTCTAAACTGAGGATCAATCTTAGTGATTCATTCATAGATGGCTGCCTCCTGTACTGTATGTTTATGTGTCTCTCTTCCCTCAGCTCTCTCTAGGTGGGATGGGGCTACTGTACCTGTGGGTTTGAAATGCCTGTCCCTCAGCTCTCTCTAGGTGGGATGGGGCTACTGTACCTGTGAGTTTGAAATGCCTGTCCCTCAGCTCTCTCTAGGTGGGATGGGGCTACTGTACCTGTGGGTTTGAAGTGCCTGTCTCTCAGCTCTCTCTAGGTGGGATGGAGCTACTGTACCTGTGGGTTTGAAGTGCCTGTCTCTCAGCTCTCTCTAGGTGGGATGGGGCTACTGTACCTGTGGGTTTGAAGTGCCTGTCTCTCAGCTCTCTCTAGGTGGGATGGGGCTACTGTACCTGTGGGTTTGAAGTGCCTGTCCCTCAGCTCTCTCTAGGTGGGATGGGGCTACTGTACCTGTGGGTTTGAAGTGCCTGTCTCTCAGCTCTCTCTAAGTGGGATGGGGCTACTGTACCTGTTGGTTTGAAGTGCCTGTCTCTCAGCTCTCTCTAGGTGGGATGGGGCTACTGTACCTGTGGGTTTGAAGTGCCTGTCCCTCATGTGGTTGATGAGGGTGTTTTTGGAGACACTCTTGTAGGGGCACATCTTGCACTTGAACTGCTGAACGATCACCACCTCCATCATCTCCTCCAGTTCAGCCATGGTGTGGGGGACGGGGACGGGGACGGGGACCCCTGGTCCTCTAACAGCCCCGGCCACCTCCTCCACGGCTGGAGTTCCAGACCCCCCCACCACGCCACCCTCCTCTCCCCTGGAAAGCCTCCCCAGACTGGGGGACCACTGAGGCTCAGGGGGCTCATCAACCTCAGGCTCCGGGTGGGAGGAGTAGGTCCCACTGCTGCTGATGTAAGGGCCAGGCTGGCTCTCTGTGCACTCCATAGCTTCTGGATGCTCTGCTGAGCCTGCAGTGTCTGCCTGGGGGTGGTGATGCTCTGAGCCTGATCTCACAGTGTCTGCCTGGGGGTGGTGATGCTCTGAGCCTGATCTCACAGTGTCTGCCTGGGGGTGGTGATGGTCTGAGCCTGATCTCACGGTGTCTGCCTGGGGGTGGTGATGCTCTGAGCCTGATCTCACAGTGTCTGCCTGGGGGTGGTGATGCTCTGAGCCTGATCTCACAGTGTCTGCCTGGGGGTGGTGATGGTCTGAGCCTGATCTCACAGTGTCTGCCTGGGGGTGGTGATGGTCTGAGCCTGATCTCACAGTGTCTGCCTGGGGGTGGTGATGGTCTGTGGAGGAACCCTCGTCACCCTCCCCTGCCCCAGTGTACCTCCCCAGGGAGGCCTCTGGGCCAGTACTGCTACTGGTGGTCTCCATGTTGTGGGAGTGCTGAGGCTGCTGCTGGTCAGAGTGCTGTGGCTGGTCTGGATCCTGGTTCTGGTCTGGATCCTGGTTCTGGTCTGGATCCTGGTTCTGGTCTGGATCCTGGTTCTGGTCTGGATCCTCCCCTTGCCCTCCCTGATCCTGGTAGTTTGAACAACCGGGCTGCTCTGAATCTGCAGCCACAGACTCCACATACTGCCGTAGGGTTAGGTGACTCTGGGAGTGGTTAGGAAGGGTTTGGTGACTCTGGGAGTGGTTAGGGAGGGTTTGGTGACTCTGGGAGTGGTTAGCACTGCTGCTGCAGCTCCGAGAGTGCTGCGGCCTCAAATCCTCTTCACACTCCAGGTACGCCCCCGTCCCTGCGCTGCAGTCCACAACGTAGTGAGTGTGGCGTCGCCGAATGCCGGGGAACGAGGGATTGGAGTCGGCGGCTCCGCTACCACTTCCGCTACACTCCACGTACCCCTGCAGGTCCTGGTCAGAGTTGTCGACTACACCATACTCCGGGAAGCGGGACCGGGAGAGAGACCGGGACGAGATCCTAGTCTCGTCAGGTTCCTCGTCGTCTACATACGAGGAGGAGGACTCTCCAGTCTGGTCAAATCAAATAGTCAAACTTTATTTAAACTGCATTTAAAATTGTACCGCACTTTACCGTAAAACAATGGAACGAAAGATAAACTGAAAAGCCATAAAGGAGATACAAAACAAGAATAAAACAAAATAAAACAAAAAAGGATCTCTAAAATAACAATAAAATCCTTGATTTAAAAGGTGTGTTTTCAAACGTGATTCAAAAACCTAAATTGTGTCTGCCCCTTACCTGGTCAGGTGCGTCTGCGTCTCCACCGCTACACTCCATGTACTGTGATGCGTGGGAGTGCTGGGGCTGGTCGTCCTGGTCCCCATAGTGAGAGTGGCTGCCAGAGAGCTGGTCTGGCTGGTCCCCATAGTGAGAGTGGCTGCCAGAGAGCTGGTCTGGCTGGTCCCCATAGTGAGAGTGGCTGCCAGAGAGCTGGTCTGGCTGGTCCCCATAGTGAGAGTGGCTGCCAGAGAGCTGGTTGTCCTGGTCCCCATAGTGAGAGTGGCTGCCAGAGAGCTGGTTGTCCTGGTCCCCATAGTGAGAGTGGCTGCCAGAGAGCTGGTTGTCCTGGTCCCCATAGTGAGAGTGGCTGCCAGAGAGCTGGTTGTCCTGGTCCCCATAGTGAGAGTGGCTGCCAGAGAGCTGGTTGTCCTGGTCCCCATAGTGAGAGTGGCTGCCAGAGAGCTGGTTGTCCTGGTCCCCATAGTGAGAGTGGCTGCCAGAGAGCTGGTTGTCCTGGTCCCCATAGTGAGAGTGGCTACCAGAAGGCTGGTCTGGCTGGTCAGGGTCCAGGTGACCTTGCACATTATAAACATTAGAATGAAGAAAAGGGACAGCACTCACTTGAAATCTTTGATTTGCAATTGAAGCTATGTTTCAATTTTCTTTCATGGCAACACACTGGCATACGTTGCATATTTCATACCTCCCATGTCTCCCTGGTCGTGGCAGGTCGAGGTAGGACCCTCTCCCAGAGCCTCGATGGCGATGCGGTGATGGCTGGACAGGGCCAAGGACGACGTGTGGGCTACCATGGGAGACCCTGGAAGAGAGAGAGGGAGAAAACACACGGGTCTGCTTTGTGGAAAGTAACTCTCTTTCCAGGGGAACAAATAGTAACTTTGGAGGTGACTACAACTATCTGAATACAGATGTCAGGAAGTGACTACTTTCCTGAAACTATTTTTTATTTATTTAACCTTTATTTTAACTAGGCAAGTCAGTTGGCAGGGCTGTGGTAGGGATGTTTCTGGAACACCATGTTGAAGACAGAAATAGATTGAACAGAGCACACACAATATCCTATTCCAATCTGACAGTCATTTTTCAAGAGTTTCTGTCCAAAACGCTATATACACACATTTTTCACATTTGTGTTTTTTGATAAGAAATGATTGCTTACCTGCATGTGTGTACGTGTAAAATACTACTGTTCTCACATTCTTTAAATTTATAGATTTTAGTTGTGTATTATAATGGGTTTCGTTGCAAAACGCTATATATCAATTGTTTAGCTGAAACGGAATGTTCTTATCCTGAACACACACAAAAACAAATGTTCTAAATAGTACCAGATACAGATTCTCTTTGGCTTGTAACTAACACCGGAACCCTTTTTGGTGCTATATAGAACCATGCTCATAAGGTTCTAAATTGAACCTTTGATATGTGGTTGTCTCACCTAGCTATCTTAAGATCTCTCTGGAAAAGAGCATGGACTCTAGAAGGTGTCCAAAGCGTTCCACAGGGATCCTGGCCCATGTTGACTCCAATGCTTCCCCCAGTTGTGTCAAGTTGGCTGGATGTCCTTTGGGTGGTGGACCATTCTTGATACACACGGGCAACTGTTGAGCGTGTAAAATGCAGCAGCGTTGCAGTTCTTGACACAAACCGGTGCGCCTGGCACCTAGTACCATACCCCGTTCAAAGGCACTTAAATATTTTGTCTTGCCCATTCACCCTCTGAATGGCACACATACACAATCCATGTCTCAAGGCTTAGAAATCCTTCTTTAACCTGTCTCCTCCCCTTCATCTACACTGATTGAAGTGGATTTAACAAGTGACATCAATAAGGGATCATGGCTTTCACCTGATCAGTCTATGTCATGGAAAGAGCAGGTGTCCTTAATGTTTTGTACACTCAGCGTATATTTATGTCACAAATGTATAATTTGTACAGTTCTTTATTAAAAGTATAGTTATTTGTAACATTTGACTGTGTAAAATCAAGCAGTACTACCTATTTCTCTGCAAGTGAGGTGGATATATAAAGTTTTGCAACAAAACATGATATTATTATTATTATTATTATTATTATTATTATTATTTGTCTCTGAAATATAACCATCAAGCGACAGATTTCGAACTAATACATCTCCGTCATTGAACAACACCATTCTATGATAAGATGGTGAAAAAACATCTTTCATAAGTTCTTTAAAACAACAAAAGCTATTTTACCAACATTTCCTGAAATGGATATATAGCCTTTTGAAATGAAACTCATTTGATCTACACAATACATTTCTATCAGAACATTCTGTAAATGTCCATTCTCCTGAATGTCCATCGCTCCAGGTGTAAATAATCAAGTCAAACCAATTAACCAATGATATTTTGTACAGATAAGTGTTGTTGTTTCAAACACACACTATACCATCTTTAAAGGGATAGTTTATTCAGAATACAAACTAACATGACGTTCAACCTGCCTTGGCTGTATTTGATTCCAGAAGGCAGTTTGGGGATATTTAGTTTCCTTTCGACACTTAATATCCATATTTTGTTACTGTTAGTATTCTCTCAAACACTTACATTTACATTTTAGTCATTTAGCAGACGCTCTTATCCAGAGCGACTTACAGTTAGTGAGTGCATACATTATTTATTTTTTCTTCATACCGCTTAACATTAAAACGTTATTGTGCCTGTGTAAAGAAAAACAGTAATAACTTCTGGAGCAACATTTTATTAGCATGTTGTTACATAATACTTTGGTAATAGCGTTTTAATTGCCTAGCAATGAGCCGAGAGTTTTTATAACTACTGTACACAAGCGGAATTAGTGACTGTAGTCTGTGAGAGAAGAGCTCACCATCATCTGATCCTTGTAGTATCAAATACTGCCCCTCACTGGTCTCTGCAGCTCCGTCCTCTGCACTGGTCACTGCTCTACAAACTGGAGAACAATGATACATAGATATTGGCTTTGATGGACAGATTACATTACCTGAATGGTGTATGTTGTACAGACATTGATTGTTACATTTGTGTCTAATGTTTTTTATATATTTTAATGTTTGATTGGAATCAAATTCCCTTCGGGGGAAAAGGTTTGCATTCCCTCACCATTCACGATGTCAGGTCCGATGGTGGACTCTATGATCTTGTCTATGGCTGATCCCAGATCTGAGGAGGTGGAGGCTGTCGAGTCAGACACCATCGTGCCCCCGCAGTCTGACCCCGCCACGCTGGAGTGAACCATCACCTGTAATAAAATATACGGTATGTGGTTTAACAGACGCTTCTACAGTGCCTTTTAAAAGTATTCATCCCCCTTGCCGTTTTTCCTATTTTGTTGCATTGCAACCTGTAATTTAAATTGATTTTTATTTGGATTTCATGTAATGGACAGATACAAAATAGTCAAAATTGGTGAAGTGAAATGAAAAAAATAACTTGTCCCAAAAAATTCTCAAAAATTAATAACAAAAAAGTGGTGCGTGCATATGTATTCACCCCTTTGCTATGAAGTACAGATCAGGGTTGGGTTATTAAAAAAATATCAGAAACTTTCAACATCCCACGGAGCACAATTCAATCCATTATTAAAAAATGGAACGAATATGGCACCTCAACAAACCTGCCAAGAGAGGACCACCCACCAAAACTCACAGACCAGGCAAGGAGGGAATTAATCAGAGAGGCAACAAAGAGACGAAAGATAACCCTGAAGGAGCTGCAAAGCTCCACAGCGGATATTGGAGTGTCTGTCCATAGGACCACTTTAAGCCCTACACTCCACAGAGCTGGGCGTTATGGAAGAGTGGCCAGAAAAAAGCCATTGCTTAAAGAAAGAAATAAGCAAACATGTTTGGTGTTCGCCAAAAGGCATGTGGGAGACTCCCCAAACATATGGAAGAAGGTACTCTGGTCAGATGAGACTCAAATTGAGCTTTTTGGCCATCAAGGAAAACGCTATGTCTGGCGCAAACCCAACATCTCTCATCACCCCGAGAACACTATCCCCACAGTGAAGCATGGTGGTGGCAGCATCATGCTGTGGGGATGTTTGTCATCGGCAGGAACTGGGAAACTGGTCAGAATTGAAGGAATGATGGATGGCACTAAATACAGGGAAATTCTTAAGGGAAACCTGTTTCAGTCTTCCAGAGACAGAGGTTCACCTTCCAGCAGGACAATGACCCTAAGCATACTGCTAAAGCAACACTTGAGTGGTTTAAGGGGAAACATTTAAATGTCTTGGAATGGCCTAGTCAAAGCCCAGACCTCAATCCAATTGAGAATCTGTGGTATGACTTAAAGATTGCTGTACACCAGCGGAACCCATTCAACTTGAAGGAGCTGGAGCAGTTTTGCCTTGAAGAATGGGCAAAAATCCCAGTGGCTAGATGTGCCAAGCTTATAGAGACATACCCCAAGAGACTTGCAGCTGTAATTGCTGCAAAAGGTGGCTCTACAAAGTATTGACTTGGGGGGGTGAATAGTTATGCACGCTCAACTTTTCTGTTTTTTTGTCTTATTTCTTGTTTGTTTCACAAAAAAAAAAAAAAAAAATCTTCAAAGTGGTAGGCATGTTGTGTAAATCAAATGATACACTCCCCCCCAAAAAATCAATTTTAATTCCAGGGTGTAAAGCAACAAAATAGGAAAAATGCCAAGGGAGGGGTGAATACTTTCGCAAGCCAATTTATTCAAAGCGACAAACAATCAGTGACATTCAACTAAGGTAGGTAAGATAACCACATATCAGTCAATCCAAGTCAAACCTAAAAGAAACACAGCTATCACGTGTCAGTCAATCCAAGTCAAACCTAAAAGAAACACTGCTATCACATATCAGTCAATCCAAGTGATAAAGAAACACAGCTATTAGCTAAATCAATGCTAGTAAGAGTGTAGTACAACAGTAACATTTTGCTATGGGGGTCAACCAAGGTGCTCTTGAATATTAGAGATGCTCACCTGGGCTGACCCAGACACCAGGATGGACTGCGTTACAGTGGAGACGCTGGTGAGCTGGGCCACAGAGGAGGAGTCTGGGAGGTGGACGGTGGCCCTGTGGTGGGTGACGTCCGTACTGGAGCTAGTCTCTGGTAGGAACACCTTGGAAACACAGAAACAGAAACACGGGTGAGGCAGGGACATGAAGACTAACTAAAACTTAGGTTACACTTTATTTGGATAGTCCCATATAGATGCTCTACAGATGGATATACTGTCAAAAAACAATCTGTTGATAAGCAACTGCTTGCTAAGGTTACAGTCAGGGTTAGGTTGAGAATAAGGGTTCGGGTAAGGGTTAAGGTAAGGGTTAAGTTTAGGGTTAGGATAAGGATTAAGTTTAGAGTTAGGATAAGGGCTAAAGTTAAGGTTAGTAGATACTTAGTTGAAATGTTGTTGACAGTTATTGAATATGTACAAACCATCTATTTGGGACTATCCATATAAAGGTTTTATCAAAACACCGGAGCCCCTACCGAGGCAATCAAGTGTAGAAGTCTTTGGATCCTTGAAAAGTGCTTTATAAAATGTATTACAATTATCATTACAAACACACGGGCTTTACGTGTATTACTTTTGACTTTATTATAGGGATAGGATTAAACTGTACCATTACACAGATGCTAATGGTTTGTACCTCTTGTATGTTCCATAGCATTAAAGTTGGATGATTCTGAACAGTTCAGATAGTGTTGTTGTTCATACCAGGAACCCCTCTGAGCTCTGTCCCACGTGGCAGTCTGACTCTGGGGCCATGCCGGGGTGGTGCTGGCTGTGACGGTGGGATGCATGGGGGGCTGCTGCATCACTGCTGTCTGCAGACATGGCCTCCGAGGACTCCATGCCCATACCGCTCTCTGACGGCTCCTCCATCCCAGACCCCGATGGACCCACATCACTGCTGCTCTCCACCTCTATCTCCTCCTCCATCTATGATAGAAAATAATATGGTCATTAGCCGAACTTTTAGAATATAATGTTCATTTTCACCAGATGGAACTGGGTGACATGTTCAATGCGTGATGGAATCAAACCCACAACCTTGGCATTGTCAACATAATGCTGTAACCCTCAAACCATCAGATCCATTTACATTTTAGTCCTTTAGCAGACGCTCTTATCCAGAGCAACTTACAGGAGCAATTAGGGTTAAGTGCCTTGCTCAAGGGCACATCGACAGATTTTTCACCTAGTCGGCTCGGGGATTAGAACCAGCGACTGTCGTAGTAAATATAAAATGTTATAGCTTGGTCTGACTAGAATGTTGTGCAAGACCCATTTTCTGTTAGGAGCTTGTTTTCAATAAATGCTGTTCCTATGCAAGAACAATGGACAGAGGACCATATCTTGTCACCTGGTGGCCAAGGACAACACCCACGCCACAGGCCACAATCACTGTTGCTCCCCACGAGTTTCCCTTGAGACATACACACACTCACACACACATGACGCACACTCATTCTCATGCCTCACGAGTTCTTTGACACACAGACATTTCGCACACACAAACTCCACTTCTTTCTACTGGTCGGGTGCCAAGGGCAGAGGACTCTGCCGTGCACCAATGGGGCTTCTACTCTGGACAGAGCAGACCCGCCTCCTACGCCTCGGGAACCAATCAAGGGACTAGAAGAAGGACCCCTTCCTTATTGTTACATTGTATAAAATAATGCTGTAACTCTGATTATCCATCCTTCTCAACTGTCTCCATAAGAGGCAATTGATTGGGTCCATGCATTGGGCCCATGCATGTAGCTTGAGCAGTACCAGCTATCTCTGTGTTTAATAAACTGCCTTTTGCTTAAGCATATTCCTCTCTGTCTAGCGTCGTTGGTTTTGTACTTTCTCTCCTTATTATGGTTTCACCAACAAAATGGTAGCAGAGGATGGTTTCTAATTCGATCTAAAGAGTTGGTGCGAGAGGAAAAGGTAAATCATCAATCTAAAAACAGACGGAAGAGTGACCTGTAATCCAGGAGACATCAACTATTCATCTTACCTCAGGAACCTGATCAGAGAGCTCTCCAAAAAAAAAGGTATGCAGAGCCTGTTAAAACGAAATCTTGCATATTGTATTATAGACCAATACCAAATTTTGATCAGAAGTACTGAGTATGAATACTTATTAAATAATTTCCATCCTAATGATTTAAGGCATACATGAGATATCTGGTACTGTGTTTTATGCTAAGGAATAAAGGAATAAGGAATAAAGGAATAAGGAATAAAGGAATAAGGAATAAAGGAATAAGGAATAAAGGAATAAGGAATAAAGATAAACGTATCCAGAATGTGTCAAACTACGGATTGACGCATTGGTGGATAAGATTTGACCCATAAATCTAGATTCCTAAAGGGACCCAGTTTGTTCCGAAATCTCTCGCATAAAATATATCCTATAGGGGAGGTCCTACCCTATAGGTTGCGAGAGAGGTGAAGTTAAACTGTGGCAGTGTTCTAGAAATTAAAATGGGGGAGAATCACCGAAATTGACCAGAGGTACTAAATTCCCGGGGATGCCAGTTATCTCTGTGATTTCACATTTAAAACGTTCCATATAAATGGTTGTGTGAAAGGTACAGTTAAGCTGAGACTAAGTCCTTCCTAGTGATCGAGTTGTCTAAAAAAATCCTTTGATAAGGATCCAGTTGCTTCTGTGACTTCACATAAGTATAAGGTTGTGTGAAGGGTAGCATTCGAACTGAGACTATGTTTTAGGACGCTCTGGTAACCTAAATTTTTAAGGTATTGTATTCTAATTGGCAGTTTTGTTTTGCTGTGTTTATATTTTAACGTGTCTGTGTTATATCTTAAACGTGTAATGGATGATGGGAAGTTATAGTGAGACTTATGAAACTGAATACCAATCTGTGGAATTGAGTGAATTTGACCTAGGCTTTCAGGAACCAGGGACTGGGAAAACTGGTATTGAATTTGTGCATGATTCTAGATCAAGCGTGAGATAACTAGAGCGTGGTGTGTGCTGTGTGTAGAAATTACTGCATTGGTGTATGTGATTGGAATTCTGATTTTTATGATAATGATTGCATTACACATAATATAAAAACAATCAGCCTCTTTATATACGATTGTGTCGTACATGAGATAAGTCTGTATTTGATACCGATAATACATCCTTGGAAATAAAACACCAGGGACGGGATAAGTGTATAAAGATAGAGAAAAGCAAGATGGCAGGGCCAAACATAACTAAACCCAAATTTAATGAATGCCTAGAACAACGAATGACAGAGAGAGCAGAGGGAGAGTTGAGAGTAGGGACATGGGAAATAGAGGAGAGTAGGAGGGTGCAACCTAAAAAATCTGACACAATGTGTGTGAAAGGGTCTCCTACAGTCGCCCCAGACACCAGCACCACTCCTGGCCCCACCTCACTATACAGCCTAAAAGGCACCATGACTTTTGGCCCACAACCACAACCATGGCCTCAGCGGGGCACTCCACCGGGTCCTCCTAGAAGAAGGAACTACCTGTGCTACAACTGTGGAAAAACTGGACATTTTAAAAGAGACTGTAGAGGAAAGGGAGGACCCCCACAACAACCATAGACCCACCTGTCTGAACTCCAGGTGCCCGAAGGCGTGATCCTCATCCAATACTACTACCACCGACATCACAGACTGAACTCAACCAAGGCGATATAGCACAGTTACAGAGCTCAGCAGCACCCTATGAACACTCAGTCTGGGCCCAGGAGGGGGCGGCAGAGGACAGGACGAACTCTGGAGGTGCCATGATGGGAGAACTAGTTGAACCAGCTAGACTCTGCTCAGAACTGTTGAGTGAGGCCCTCGGGCACACGCACGAGGGAAAGTTTAAGACCCTCCAAAAGTTCCCACACATCTGGTGGCACCCTCACATGACAGAAACTGTAGACAGGTTTTCAAAATGGGTAGAGGCAATTCCTACAGAAAACTACAGAATTAGAGGATGATAGGTCAGTCATTAAGTGGCTACAAACTAAGTTAATACCCAGATATGGTATACCAAGGCAGATAAGATCTGACAACCACACATTTTAGCAACAAACACCTAAAAAAGGTGGAGGTAAGATTCGGAATCATGCACAGATTCGGTTCAGTAACATCCACAGTCCCAACCAAACATTTAAAGCTAAAATAACAAAGGTTTGTCCAGGAACAAAATTAACATAGGTCCACCAAGGGAGGGAGGTCATATGCCCTCCCTTGATGTACAACAGATAGAAATGACTGATTATGTGATGAAATTGACGGAATTTTCTGCAGCACTCTCTTCTCAGGCGCAGAAGGCCCAAGAGGGGGAGCTGTCGGGAAGTACGCTGACACTGAAGGTAAAAGTGGGAGACTGGGTGAGGGTAAAAGTCCACAAGAGAAAGTGGCTGGAACCCAGGTGGACTGGACCGTACGAAGTGAAGGAGGTTACTTCACACTCAGTCCAGGTCAGAGGTAAATCAGGCGCACCCTGGCACCATCTAACTCATTGCACACCAGCCCCCACTCCTTCTAGATCACTGACAGAAGTCAGGGCTGATTTGAGCAGCCAAAACCAAAATTTGACACCAAAATTAAGATGATATAGAATTTGAACAACAGCTTTGATGTATTTAATCGTGCACTAGAGGGGGACTAACATTGTTTAATTAACTGGCCATATAATTGGTTTGCTAGAGGGGGATGGTTGATTGTTTAATTAATGTTTTTTACCATTGCATTATGCGTTATCATGTTTTGTTTTCTTTCCTGCATTATTGTTTTTTCTTTTAAGACTGATTCAACTATGCTTCATGCCACCATAATTAATGGATCACGTCTGGGAGACGTGAAGAGGGGGATTTGTCGTAGTAAATATAAAATGTTATAGCTTGGTCTGACTAGAATGTTGTGCAAGACCCATTTTGTGTTAGGAGCTTGTTTTCAATAAATGCTGTTCCTATGCAAGAACAATGGACAGAGGACCATATCTTGTCACCTGGTGGCCAAGGACAACACCCACGCCACAGGCCACAATCACTGTTGCTCCCCACGAGTTTCCCTTGAGACATACACACACTCACACACACATGACGCACACTCATTCTCATGCCTCACGAGTTCTTTGACACACAGACATTTCGCACACACAAACTCCACTTCTTTCTACTGGTCGGGTGCCAAGGGCAGAGGACTCTGCCGTGCACCAATGGGGCTTCTACTCTGGACAGAGCAGACCCGCCTCCTACGCCTCGGGAACCAATCAAGGGACTAGAAGAAGGACCCCTTCCTTATTGTTACATTGTATAAAATAATGCTGTAACTCTGATTATCCATCCTTCTCAACTGTCTCCATAAGAGGCAATTGATTGGGCCCATGCATTGGGCCCATGCATGTAGCTTGAGCAGTACCAGCTATCTCTGTGTTTAATAAACTGCCTTTTGCTTAAGCATATTCCTCTCTGTCTAGCGTCGTTGGTTTTGTACTTTCTCTCCTTATTATGGTTTCACCAACACAACCTTTCGGTTACTGGCACAACGCTCTTAACCACTAAACTACCTGCCTGACATGCTCACACTACAGAGACATCTATATTGAGAGACATGATGATGATATCAGTTTTCAACTATCATATGTCTATCGAATATCCGTATTCTGGCAGCCTATTCTTTCACAGGGTGTGTAACTTTAATTGGATATTGATTGTGTGAAATGCCACACGTTGTAAAGAATTGCAGCTTATTGCACATCAGTTTAGAAGTGTTTCTCTAGAGTAGCATTTGTGAGGGTGCTTTGTTGAAGGGACTCCTTTCTGTGGGTCTTTGAGTGAGTGTGGAGGTAAACAATATCACTGATGAACATACAGTAGCTAGCTAGCTAGCTAGCTACATGGCTAACTGTAACTGTTAACCACATTGGACGTAGTTTCTTCTTCTTAGTGGTTAGATTGGACAACTTGATAGCCAAAGTAAAAGCCAAATATACTAGCTAGTAGCTAAACTAGCTAGTAATGGCATATTTACTTGGAAAACAGCAAGGTTTGTTAGCCAGCTAACGTTAGTTCTTGGATAAGCCAGTCAGATCCTGGTAATATAATACTGCTGACATGAGGTTGCACAACGCATGCAACAAGGTCGGTGGCATATTTATATGCTTTGTTTGTTTGCTGTTGGAATAATAGGTCAAATATAGCCATAATTGTGTAATTTTTATTTTGACAGCTCTAGCTAAACACACCTGGAGTCGAGCGTGTAGCTAGCAACGACCCCCCTCTTTATGATTTAAACAAGACTAGCTGCCCTCCCTACTGCCTGCTCCGCCATTTTCCGCCAGCACTATTTTTGCATTCAGGCATTCTACAACCTACTAAGGCGTAAGGGGGCCTCAGCAAAAACAGACCGTCCAACGTCCATCCCTGAAGAAAATTATATTAATATATCTATATAACACGAGTTTCTTTGAGATTTTTACTTACAGTGTATTGCGAGTTCAATTTGTTTATGACTTAGTAGACACGCCAAACAGTATAAGAAGTTGTACGCGATAATTGCTATTCCATTCTAGTCGGGCGCCATCAGTATCTCCTCGGCTTCCTTGTTGGACAAACCGGATCTTATTTCTCTGTTTTGCTAAAGTGGAAGACACTTTAAAATGTGCTCCTTGTATTTTCATGATATTAAGGGCAGCTTTCCCCCCTAACCGTTTTAAACGATTAGATTCAATAGAGCACCGTATGAAGAGTATATTTAGATTTTTGGGGAAAGTATAGGACTATTGTTTCCAGAGGAAGACTTATTACAGAATTTGCCTACGAGCGGCGCAGTAATATCAAGTGTAATATCGAGCTGCTTACAATGTTGCATCAAGCTGCTTCTTACAATTGTAAAATAGCAGCTCGATGATTGTATAACCATGGTTAGATGTTACAATGTATCTATTTACTTAGATTTCTTATCATTTAGTAATGGCAGTGGCACCTTAATAACGCTGGATGTTTGGCTCTGTCTGCAGTGTGGATATTCAACAAAAAAAAACAGGCATAGCTCCAACTTCTATGCGGAAGCTCATTGTGTTGACAGCAGAGAGGAAGAGGCTTGGTGACAGCTGCACAAGATCATTAGCTAGCTATATAGTTAAATTGACGACAACTAATAATGAAGTGCTATTTGTTTATTGAATTTCCAGTTCTGTTTTAATACAAAACATTGATTTACTTACAAAATAACTTAAAAGTGATGGAGACACCATGGCGTGCCATCCAGTGCAAAATACATGGCTTTTGAGCCAGTTCAGAAATATAAAATAACACCAAATAAACCAACATTGCATTGTTGAACACAAAAATAAAACCAGAGGGTAATATACATATCAATTCATGGCTCATCAAAAATATCTGCACCAGGCAGATATGTTAAAGCACCAACAATTGTGAATCGGATCTGCTGGTGCTGAAATCGTTATTTCAGGGCTGTGGTTATGTGTCTCTGGACCCTAGTCTAGACTAGAGGACAAGAACCCGTTTACTCACACAGTTAGAAGGAAAGTGCCCATACATGTGTATCATTTAGTTTGACCTGATTCAACTGTGAGTTGGAACATCATGGGAGGGTGGCAAATATTTCACCATCTTACAAAGCACACAAACAGGGGCGCCGTTTCAACTTTACAAACGCCACCGCATACACAAACAGTACCACAAGCACTCATCTGCATAATTCTCACATCAGAGATCCCCCTTTATAGCCTCAGGAGAAACAGAGAATGGAATAACAGTAAATTGGCAAGACAGCACAAACAGATCTGGGACCCAGGCTAAGAACAAACATCCTGTTGGAAGGGTTCTTAAATATTTAGCCCAGAAACAGTGCCAAAGAAATAGATATACTAGAATGGAGATAACCCCTTGGACCGTCACGGAATACTGACTTGAACAGGTGTAGTCATTCTAGTATGTCAATTTCTATGGGTAAAGAAGCTCAGTAGCGGTAGTTAGAGGAGTCGGAACACTTCAGGATGTCGTACTTCACGTATCCCACACGGTCCACCTGTCTCCTAGAGTTCATTCGCCAGTAGAAACGATCCCGACAGAAGTAGATGTGGCCTACAGTAGAAACAATCACAATACGTAATGGGGAGTTATAACATGATTGTGAGTTACTACATGATTGTGAAGTGTCTAACTTTGATAACATTGATAAGAAAGTACAAACTAAACTGACAGTTTACTGTAATATTTTTTGCTTCATGTAGAATAAAATAAGGCCATTTTTAAAGGTCTACATACAGAGTAAATTAATAGATTAATATTTACCCTTGAAGTGGAAGACATCATGTGCATCATTGGGAACACCCCCGAAGGCAATGTCTGTGAACTGGGGGTATCCCTTGTCGATTTTCTGGTTCTTCACATCCAGCCTGTAAGCATTTCGTTTGGTTATTACAAAACACAGACCTACAGATCCAGTAAATATTTATAAGTTCAACCCTTCCTTGAGCTCTTCTGATCCTCTTCATCTTCTAGTTACATTTGAGTTCATTTTGCTGTAGGTTATGATAATATAGCTTATAACAATATTCCGCCGCTTAGCTGTCACTTTTAACCAAAGCAATTTACAATACAGTGAGTGCATACATTTCTAGTATGTTTATGCGATGACGATCTCTTCAGAACTTGAACCCACAACCATATCTCAACACCCCCCTCATTCCTGAACTCAGGTTTTTATTTCTCATGTTTTTTGTTCTACCTTATGTTATTTTTAGTACTACATTGATATTGATTACTACATTGTTAGGTTTAGAGCTTGCAAGAAAGGCATTTCACTGTACTTGTGCACGTGACATTGGAAAGTTGAAACTTGACTCACCTCCAGTAGTTCTCTCCGCTGAAGAGCAGCACCTTGCCTTTCCCTCTCTGCAGTGCTCCCTCCACCTTCTCTACGGTAGAGGGCAGACCCAGCTTCTCAACGCTGCGGGGTCCCAGGAGACTCTGCCCTGTATACACCCAGAACCTAGTGCCTACGGGACAACAGAGACAAAGGTCAGAGTGATGTCGTCTGTGTGTGTGTGTGTGGGGATGGGAAATGTGTGTGTGTGTGTAAAATCAGAATTCTGTTTACCTGAGAAGAAGTAGATTTTCTTTGTCACAAGGTCCTCAAAGGCCGTGTCAATGATGGCTGGCAGAGCCGGCCACCTCTCAGACATGGAAAACGGACCCTTCAGTCCACCGTCAGTCTTGCTCGACAGCCTCCAATATTGCCTGTTGGATCAGCAAAAACATCACAATTATGAATTTAGCTACAATGTATAATTATTATCTACATTGTAAGATAATGGGCTACACTGTCAGAAGAAATTGTGCTATAATGAACCAAAAAGTGTCCATTAGCTCTTATTGTCGTCGTGGTGTAGCTGTTCTTAGTAATAAAAGGGGAATCCAGCGGGAGCAATATGTGAACCCTTGGCTTGTTTATTTACATTCTGTCCTGTACTCTTACATTGTATATCCTGTTTCTCTCTCCAGTTATCTCTCCCTTAGCCCATAACTCTATCCTGTTTCTCTCTCCAGTCATCTCTCCCTTAGCTCATAACTCTATTCTGTTTCTCCAGTTATCTCTCCCTTAGCTCATAACTCTATTCTGTTTATCCAGTTATCTCTCCCTTAGCTCATAACTCTATTCTGTTTCTCCAGTTATATCTCTCCCTGAGCTCACAACTCTATTATGTTTCTCCAGTTACCTCCCCCTTAGCTCATAACTCTATTCTGTTTCTCCAGTTATCTCTTCCTGAGCTCACAACTCTATTCTGTTTCTCCAGTTATCTCTCCCTGAGCTCACAACTCTATTCTGTTTCTCCAGTTATCTCTCCCTTAGCTCACAACTCCTGTGCTCTCTTAACACCCATTTAACATCACAGCCCTCAAAAAGGTTATATTGTTGAACAGCAAAGCAACCTTCTTTAAAAAAAAAAAATGTTGCTCACCCATCCTTGAAGAAGTGCAGATCTCCATCGATCTCTGTGATGGTGTCGAACTTGTTGATCTGGCAGGGGTCCTGTGATGGGTCCACAGGGTGTGTGGTGGTGGTGGTGGGTTTGGTAGTGGTGGTAGTGGGGGTGTTGAGCTCAGGCTCATCGCTTGGGCCAGGTGCAGGGGCGGTGGGCCCAGGGGGTGTGGGGTCAGGGCCTGTCTTGGATCCTGGGTGGGAAGATATCGGGAAGGAATGCAATGAATGAAATGAACAACACTTAACTATTGTCATTGTTGTTCCTTTACCATCTGGTCTCCGTGGTGATAGAGGGAAATAGTATGTTGGTTGTATGCATGTATGTTGTGAATTCTGTGTGATCACATGATATTGCAGCCTTGGTCCAAGGTCTGTTTGTTTTGCCAACTCCTATTGGTCATTGTCACTCCAGACAGCACAAACAGATCTAGGACCAGGCTAGTGATATTGTGTAATCATATCATATAGTGATAATGTCATACCATAGAGATACTGAATTCCTTCAACATCATCTTCATGCAGGGAGAAGTCTTCAACGTAGCTGTACATGGGATACATGAGGGCATCTCTGATGTTGGAGTGGTCCAGACCCAGGGCGTGACCAAACTCATGGGCCGCAACCAGGAACAGACTGTAGCCTGAGAGAGGAGCGAGTGAGTAGGAACACATCATTAAGTCAGTTTTGGTGTGCAGCTATAGCCTGAGTGCCAGTCTGCTACAATACCAACTCCCTGTCACTCATTGCCATGTTTGGCTTGACAATGACAGTAATGGAGTTGGCAAGAGGACAAACAGATCTGAGGCCAGGCTAGTGCACCTACACTAATATACATTTTCCACACTATTGAGCCAAGATGAGCTATACTGCGCTAGCCTGGTTATGCATATACCTAGAACCGTGCTTGAAAGGGCAATTTGAAAGTAAATGATCTGAGCAAGCAGTTTGAGTCCGCACAATAGTTTGAAACAAGGTATAGATGCACTGACAGCCTGCCGTTTGAGTCAGTATGGTAGGTGCAGTGACGGTGTCTCTGACTGACAGCCTGCCGTTTGAGTCAGTATGGTAGGTGCAGTGACGGTGTCTCTGACTGTCAGCCTGCCGTTTGAGTCAGTATGGTAGGCACTGACTCTGTCTCTATCACTCACCCCTATCTTGGCAGAAGCCCCATTTCTTGTCTGCGTCGTAGTCGCTGGTGGTGGCGCACCACAGCTTGCCGTCTCCCCGTCCCTCGCTGGTGCATGAGTCATACTTCTTCCCCAGGAAGACAAAGGGGAACTGGCACAGCTCTCCCTCAGAGTTTCCACCAATCACAGCCGTATCTGTCATAACACAGACACAACACTATTAGGGAACACGTGTCACTGAAGGCAGGCTAGTGATTAATGTATGTGTGACAGTGATCAGACCTGGTTTCAACTACTATTTGTTTTATTTCATTAACTTTAGCTGTGCTTGATTGAGCTTTCCTGGAGCAATAGTCCCAAAAGTGCAAACCCCGCCCATCTGACTCTCCAGACACGCTCAATCAAACATTCAAAGTATTTGAAAGACAAATAATACTATCCCAGGTCTGGTGGTGGTGACAGTGATACTCCCTCACCTCTGTTGGGACAGAAGCCATATTTCTTATCATTGTCAAAGTTGTCTGTGGTGGAACACCAGCGGTATCCATCACTGCGACCCTCCGTGGTGCAACCTTCATATGTCTCCCCCAGGAACACGAAGGGGAACACACATTCTTTGCCATTGCTGTTTCCGTCGAATGTGTAGAGAACTGTATGTGAGAAAAGGAGAGGGAGAGCGAGAGAGAGAGAAAGAGAGAGAAAGAGGTAGAGAGAGAGAGAGAGAGATAGAGAGAGAAAGAGAGAGAGAGAGAGAGAAGAGAGAGAGAGGAGAGAGAGACCGAGAGCGCGAAGAGATCAGATAGAGCTCTGAGAGAGCTCGAGCTCTCCGATCTATACTCTCTTTCTAGCTCTCTCTCGCTCTCTCTCTCTTCTCTCTCCTCTCTTTCCTCTCGCTCTCCTCTCTCTCCCTCCTCTCTCTCAGCTCTCTCTCTGCTCTCTCTCTCTCTCTCTTCCTCTTCTCTCTCTCGTCTCTCTCTCTTCTCGCTCTCTCTCTCTCCCTCTCTCCACTCTCTCGCTCTCTCTCACTCTCTCTCTCTCCCTCTCTCTCTTCCCTCTCTCCTCTCTCTCTCTCTCTCTCTCTCGTCTCTCGCTCTCTCTCTCTTCTCTCTCTCTCTCTCTCTCTAGCTCTCATCTCGTCCGCTCCATCTCTGTCTACCTCTCTCTCTCTCTCTCTTCTCTTCCTCTCTCTGCTCTACTTTCCTCTCTCCCTTTTTCTCTCTCTGCCTCTCTGTTCCAAAGCTGATCAGATTATGAGTGTGGTGAGCTAACTCTGTCTAAAATACTTTCTGGCCAATCATTCCTCTCAAGTATTAACTGTCAGTCTTACGTTCACTTGGACAGAAGCCAAATTTCTTGTCTCTGCCGTAGTCGGCTGTGGTGGCACACCAGGGCAGGTTGTCAGAGCGCCCCTCTGTGGTGCAGGTGGAGTACTGCTTGCCCTCGAAGGAGAAAGGGAAGTGACACATAGCACCCTCTGCGTTGCCATACCTAGTCTTCACAGCTGGAACAAAAAAAGTTATGTTTTAATTGGGAGCAATTGTGAACAATAGCTATGTCAAACATGATTAAATACATATGATAAGATGGTTCACTGCAGCTCAAGGGTTCAATCCTACAGATGATGTGGAGATGTTGTCAGAGGCACATAGCTCAGTTCAATCTCAGTCAATAAGATGCTTAAAATGGACACAAGGGGGAGACCTAGCACCATGAAATACTGGACACTAGGGGGAGACCTAGCACCATGAAATACTGGACACTAGGGGGAGACCTAGCACCATGAAATACTGGACACTAGGGGGAGACCTAGCACCATGAAATATTGGACACTATGGGGAGACCTAGCACCATGAAATACTGGACACTAGGGGGAGACCTAGCACCATGAAATACTGCCTAACTGAACCAGCCAGGATTGACTATACACCTCCATGCGTACCTGGTCCTTTGCCGAGGGTCCAGTTTTCGTCGTCGTCAAAGTGGGCGTCTCCCTGTATGCCCTCACCAGGGGGGAAGGCGTGGGCCAGAAGGCCGTCCTTACCATCGAAAGGGTAGCCATCTCCATGGTCTGGAAAAAAAAAACAAGGCAATGAATGAATAGCATTCATTCAATGCAGGGTTGGGGTCAATTGCATTTCAATTTGGTCAATTCAGTTACTTCCTTTCATGTTTCTTCAATAAAGATTCATTTGGATGTGTACTCTTCAGGTTAGAGATGTGTTTTAAATCTAAATGTTCTGGGAGGCGGAGGATGTTTAATTGATGCTTTCAGAGATGGTATGGCACACATTGCATAGCCTGGAATCCAAATTGAAACAATGGTGAAACAGAGCATCAGTTTGGATCCCAGGATGCATACAGTACTGCAGCCCTTCTTACCTGCTTTTCCAAATGACACCATGATGTCGGCGGTGCCGTCAAAGAGTCGCGTGAAGGTGAGAGGGGTGACATCACTCCACACCTTGAAGGCTCTGGCGAAGGCATCGTCTATCAGAGAGGCTTCCATGTCTGGAGAGTAGTTCAGGATCCTAGAGAAAAAAAACAAGACAGCACGATCAAACTCACTATGAAGGCAACTGAGGATGAATGGCCACATGTTCAGCTACTTGCTCTGTTTGATACAAATCAGATATTATTACAGGCAATTGTTACACTATGCACACCAGGCTTTAACTTCTCCACAGACTATACCTGTAACCCTAACCCTAACCTCGTCCACAGGCTCAATTGCTACCGACTGGGTGGAGGAGATTACCCCAACCCTAATCCTATAACCCTAACCCTAAAGCAGTCCCACATCATCCCCATTCACAGTACCTGTATGTAACATCATGATGGTCCCATTTCAGGTCCCCCTCGAAGGTCTGGTAGGAGCGTACGTCAGGGACCCCGCAGCGAGGTGCCTTCATGGCTGCTACCGTAGACTTGTCCAGCGTCCCTGTCTCCTCCAGTCCCATCTGCCTCTGCATCCTCATCAGGGCCTTGGTGCTGGACACCATGGACTGGAAACCGCTGCGGTGCTGGACGTTCATGTAGCCAAACCTCTTCAGGTAGCTCTGGAGATAGGAAATAATGAATGCGATGAGATTATTAGATCATTAAGATCATTGCAAATAATGAGATTGCAAATTAGGAGATTATTGCATACAATTACAAATTACTCCATTTTAGATTGATGGAATGACTTTAGGTTAATATTATAAGCCACGATATTGAGACACGATGGACAATTCCCCAAATGTATTTTAGTCATGAAAAAGCTATCCTCCACACCACAGCCCAGCCTATATGTTTTTGTTTTCAGGACAAATTAAATCTGTTTATAGATTAAAGAAGCTAGAACATTTAATGCGTCTCTGTGCATCTGCTACTCACGTCTGCCAGCTCCATATCCGTCATGTTCTTGAGGACATCTCCAGGGAAGGTGACAGACACGGTCTTCTTCAGGGGAATGCACCATCCTCCTACCGTGCATGTTGCCAACACTAGGAAAACCAGAACTCTATGCTGAGATCTCATGGTGAGACCAAGGTAAGATGAGCGTAACAGAAAATATACTATGATGTGCCAGACGGCCAATGAAGGGACTCTCAGTGACAGTAAAAAAAAAGTTTGCAGTGGATCACTCTTCCTTGAAGTTCAGTGGATAGGATGTTCTCCCTTGGTGCCTTGGGCTCAGTATTTATGCTCTTAGTCTTAGTCACCCTCGTAAACTCCACCCTCTCTCTCTCTCTCTCTCTCTCTCTCTCTCTCTCTCTCTCTCTCTCTCTCTCTCTCTCTCTCTCTCTCTCTCTCTCTCTCTCTCTCTCCCAGTCATCACCCCTCCTACTGGGAGTGAGCATTATATTATTGTTCAGGGGGTTTCCAAAATGTAGTAATGTATCCCAATACCTAACTTCCTACCAATTAAACCTTTTTTTTTGTTCAGTTTTTTACATATACAAGGATAATAATTTTATGCCATTTAGCAGACACTTTTATCCAAAGCGACTTACAGTCATGCGTGCATACATTTTTTTTTGTGTATGGGTGGTCCCGGGGATCGAACCCACTACCTTGGCGTTACAAGCGCCGTGCTCTACCAGCTGAGCTACAGAGGACCACAGGAGGTTGGTGGCACCGTTATTGGGGAGGACAGGCTCGTGGTAACGGCTGGAGCGGAATAGGGGGAATGGTATCAAATACATCAAACACATGGTCTCCATGAGTTTGATGCCATTCCAATCGCTCCGTTCCAGCCGTTATTATGAGCTGTCCTCTCCTCATCAGGATGACACACACAGTTGGGGACATTTTATTGAATTAGCTTTATTCTAGTCAAAGCAATGTATGGAATTTGGGCAAAACAGTGACACTATGACATTAATTTAATCTAAAATAATTATTTCTTATGGGAACCTATTTCCTATAGTAACAGGGTAAACTGTAGTGTTCCAGAAATCCATTGTTTTCATTTACTGTATGAGGTTCTGGGAAAAGCACCTGCAGACGTGTTTGACTCACATAAATAAATGCATAGTAATGGTTGTAGCATGTTTATTTAATGGTCATATTCATCTGTGAGGTTTAACCAGAGGTTTTGTAACTGTAACACTTGCTAAATGTAAAACGTAAAATCATACCCGAACTTCTGTTATCTAAAATAATACATTGTAGCCGCAACATCTTCTTTAATTAAGTTTGCTTCCACTTTTCTATTTTCAGACTTGGAAAACTGTGACTGATTGAGTCAGTGTTCAAACTGGGTCAAGTTATAACTACAGTCTAGGGCCGCCGATCAAAGATATCCAAACTAACATTATCTGTCTTTCCCCACAAATCACAGTCTAGGGCCGCCGATCAAAGATATCCAAACTAACATTATCTGTCTTTCCCCACAAATCACAGTCTAGGGCCGCCGATCAAAGATATCCAAACTAACATTATCTGTCTTTCCCCACAAATCGATGACTGAATAAATGTAGTAGCTGTTGTATGGTTCAGAATTATGTGACTGAAAGCTGATATTGAACTAAAGACAAATGTTGAACTAAACAGATTGATACAGAAAATAATGTTTTTATATATATATTTATATACATATATATTTTTTAAAATAAGGATCTAATAATGCTATGCACATTATTACACAAATAAAATGCTGCCAAGAACACACGTTGTGATTCATTTCACAACATGGCTTACTGTACATGTCCATGTAATAATGACGTTGCAATACCCGTCTGTGGTCAATTTGTTTTAGGGAACAAGCTACATTAATGCCACCATAACAGTGACGCCATGCCATGGATCATCACCTGAATCATTGCGATCAAAAGTGCGAGCACCATATTAGGTCATAGGAGTATCAGTAGGGTGAAACTGGTCAAGACTGGTTTATTTTCCGGTCCAAGCATCCACAGCACCTTACATAAGCCTATGCAGCATCAGTGCAACAGCTTTACAAAATACAGAGCGGAGTACTGGTCAGCCGAAGACGGCGCCACAGCTCCGCTCACCCAACACACCTGTGCAGGATGACTAATCGGCACGCCTGCGAGGCATTCACTAATCAACTGACTGGCACAAGCGTGCAGGCTGGACTATGGTCTTCAGCTGGAGACAATGACCCCAGAAAGACTTGATACAATGTCACCTATTATTATTGCGATGATGATGATGATGATGATGATGTGGTTATGTGGTTAATTACTTCTGTATATAGCAACATTTCAGTGAAGCAGGAAGATGACTCAGACCTGCATGATGGGCTTTTTTTTCTATGAGCACACGGGCTGATATTCCCCCTGTGTCCCCGTACACAGTAGACCAGAGGTGCTGAGTAGCAGTCTACGGCTGAGAATGATACAGGCGATGATAAAACGATAGAAATAGAATGATTTTAATGATAGTTCTGTAGGCCAGTACATGAGGCAAGGGACTGATGGGAAGCTTTGCCCATTTACTTTCTGCTAGTGGTTGGCAACAACCCTTATATGGCTGTGATAAAATAATTAAACTTGTGATTGGCAACAGGCTGGTTAGGTTTTCTCAGAATTATTAGTAAAGGGATATGACAAACAATACCAAAGAAATGTTGTCATATCCATTACGATATTGTACGAGCATATCATTGTGTCTTATCTCGATAGCTGTCCATGGTGCAAAATATACATACTCGATCCCATACACAATTCAATTCAGTCTATACAGTAGCTTTGATACACCTTGTGTACACATACAGTAAAAAATACCCCCAAAAAATAATGCTCCAGTCCAGGAACATACATTGGCCAATGCTCACTGTAGGTCTGATGCCATAAAGGTCGAGTTAAGAAGTGCCGGTTGAGTGAAGAATGTCTGTGTAAAATAGAGGTCAGGACAAGGTAACAAGTATCATAAAACGAAGGAAATTAAAACCATAGAAACATCTCTTGAAACTCTCTTATTGTAAAAACCACAACGGGAGTCTGTATTTATTGGCTGTATTTATAAACTGGGTGGTTCGAGCCCTGAATGCTGATTGGCTGACAGCCGTGGTATATAAGACCGTATACCACGGGCACGACAAAACATTTGTTTTTACTGCTCTAATTACGTTGGTAACCCGTTTAAATGGCAATGAGGCGCCTCTGGGGTTTGTGGTATATGGCCAATATACCACGGCTAAGGGCTGTGTCCAGGCACTCTGCGTTGCGTCGTGCGTAAGAACAGCCCTTAGCCGTGGTATATTGGCCATATACCACACCTCCTTGGGCCTTATTGTTATAATATACCAGCAGAGTTAAGCGAAATTGTGTGGAACTGATCTGCTCTGCTATAGTTTGTCAGGACCTTACTCGCTTGATGCATAACAGAAACCTGAAGACTTGTGTTGGCTCTCGAAGCTAATGCCGTAGCCTTTAGCTCAGCGGGATTACACAGTCTTGTAAATTTTTCAAACCCAGTCAATCATATTAACTTGCTCCTAAAAAGCTGTCTGTCAGACTCAGCACAGTGGAATGTGTCAAGTTGTCCAACTCTGGAGACTGACAGACGGATCAAGTGTCAGATAAACAGACAGTTTTGATTGAAACTCTGGTCTAAATGGACCAGAAATGACTGGCTGATGAGTCAAATCAGTCTGGCTCCGCTCCTCTGTCAGGGGAAGTGTTTCCGCCTGCCTGCAGGGTGGGCTTATACAAACAGCAGGTATGTGTTTGCTGTAGGTGAGTGTTCCTGACACACAGATACACCACCTGCTCGTCGAACATCTCATTCCAAAATCATGGGCATTTAATATGGAGTTGGTCCTCTCCTTTGCTGCTATAACAGCCTCCACTCTTCTGGGAAGGCTTTCCACTAGATGTTGGAACATTGCTGCGGGGTCTTGCTTCCATTCAGCCACAAGAGCATAAGTGATGTTGGGCACTGATGTTGGGCGATTAGGCCTGGCTCGCAGTCGGCGATCCAATTCATCCCAAAGGTGTTCAATGGGGTTGAGGTCAGGGCTCTGTGTGGGCCAGTCAAGTTCTTCCACACCGATCTCGACAAACCATTTCTGTATGGACCTCACTTTGTACACGGGGGCATTGTCATGCTGAAACAGGAAAGGGCCTTCAACCAAACTGTTGCCACAAAGTTGGAAGCACATAATCATCTAGAATGTTCCTGTACTGGATCTAAGGAGCCTGAACTATGAAAAACAACCCCAGACCATTATTCCTCCTCCACCAAACTTTACAGTTGGCACTATGCATTGGGGCAGGTAGTGTTTACCTGGCATCTGCCAAACCCAGATTTGTCCGTTGGACTGCCAGATGGTGAAGTATGATTCATCCTTCCAGAGAACATGTTTCCACTGCTCCAGAGTCCAATGGCGGCGAGCTTTACACCACTCCAGATGACGCTTGGCATTGCGCATGGTGAGCTTAGACTTGCGCATGGTGATCTTAGACTTGTGTGCGGCTGCTCAGCCATGGAAACCCATTTCATGAAGCTCCCGACGAACAGTTATTGTGCTGACATTGCTTCCAGAGGCAGGTTGGAACACGGTAGAGTGTTGCAACCGAGGACAGACGATTTTTACGCGCTATGTGCTTCAGCACTCGGAGGTCCCGTTTTGTGAGGGTAGCCTACCACTTCGCGTCTGAGCCGTTGTTGCTCCTAGACGTTTCCACTTCACAATAACAGCACTTACAGTTGACTGGGGCAGCTCTAGGAGGGCAGAAATTTGACCAACTGACTTGTTGGGAAGGTGGCATCCTATGACGGTGCCATGTTGAAAGTCACTGAGCTTTTCAGCACGGGCCATTCTACTGCCAATGTTTGTCTATGGAGATTGCATGGCCGTGTGCTCGATTTTATACACCTGTCAGCAATGGGTGTGGCTGAAATAGCTGAATCCAGTCATTTGAAGGGTGTCCACAAACACAGAACTGTTCAGGTGGGTTCTAAACAATGTAAATCAATTCAGAGTTGTTTTAGTTTTGAGCAGCACAGAACGCTGGCCGTTTCAGAGGCAAGTCAGTTGCTTGGCTTGGTGTGTGGGAGTTTGTATTGACCTTGAACCCTCATTATATATTCACTCAACTGTACTAAAGTTACCAGATTGAAACCATTGCTGTTGTTTTTACTGTTTCTAAAATAATTTTGGATAATTGTCACGGTAGTAATAATAGGAACAATAAAAAATTAGTTTAATCCCAAAAGAGGAAGCATAAAAGAAAAAGCAGAAAT